AATGAAAAAGCATAAATTATACTATTTGTGCTTTTTCTGATGACTGATTGGTTTCAGAACTTTAGGCGAGAATCTCTTCTCGCTGCATCTCATGCTGTTACTTAATAGCGAAAAGAAAATTTATAGCCATTCGGAAGCATGAAAACTAGGTTTGAGCCCTGGATCTCCTGAAGGAAAGACGATTGATTCGACAATTATTTCGTAGACTGAAAGCAAGCGCCACGTGAGTAAAATTACTATATTATATTACTACATAACTAGTACTGGGCTGTCCTTACCTTGCCTGGCGGCAAGATTGTCCTTTGCCTGAAAGCATTCATGGAGCATCGAGGACATGACTAAATGCTGTTTTGCTTACAATGCGAAATATCATTAGTTTCAGTAGCAATTGACCTGATGTTTGAAGGCTCATCTTCGTTGGACTGGTCCGGCTTCGAGGATGTTTTAATAAGGATACAAAATCATTGAAGTGAGACTAGTTATTGAAATGCACCATTTAGGTTTTCCAAACTAACTGTTAAGCAGTCGATCTGTGTAATGTTCAGTTAGTCATTTATTTTCTTGAAGACAACGAATTATCCTTGAAAGAGCTCTTTGCAAAAACCTAAACATTTCAATGTATAGTCGTATATAGTGCAATAGATACTGCGTTTGTATTCACCGTGCGTAAATATTTCGTGTGAAAAAACGGAGCATTTGACGACGCAAAAGAAAAAAATGCTATATTTATTAAAAAAAGGCCCCTATTATGGCTAGAGAAGACGATACTAGGGACCGCCAGGGTAGGCAGATCATAGACTGTACCTATCTATCATCTAGCATTGATCTATATAACGTTCTGTTGCTCGGTGCGAAGCCGGCCTTTAGATGGCTGGGGTACCGGGGCATCGATGGGTAACGTTCGATCGAAGAAGGAACTATAATGAAAGTCAACGCGACCGCAATTAAATCTGAATAATTATCGTGACTGAATGTGATTCTGGTGTAAATAGTTACGTATGATTCATGGTCGTGATTATATGGCGCATAGGTACCCTATGCTAATAAAGTCGTCGTCAAAATGTAGTTTCGAAGCGGCCATATGGGATACGATGTCGACATATACTCAGCTGTACAACTATATGACTTCACTCAATTTGACATACATAGTTAAGCTCTTATACTATCTGGTTCTTTATTTCTTTACATAATAATGAACGTCGACGGTGTCCGGCTTTGCATTTGCTCGAGTTATTGACGGATGCTGGCTCAGAGCTCCCAGGATGGTCAACTATTGACTGCATGTGTTGTTTAACACATTCAGTCCTTTGAAGATTGAAATCTGGGACAGGCGAAACCGAGTTAGAGCAAAGGAGCTAGAAAAACGCATCTAACCTTTTTTGCCTCTAAATATAATTTGCCTTACCTTTCAAATATAATTTGAGATTACAAGAAATGCATTAACTGCACTTCGGAATCTCCTCTCTGAACATTGATAGGGTGAATGTTTTGAAGCAGCGCTCATTGCTTTCTTGCTAGGGCAACCGAGTAGGAACTTCTGTTTTATATAGCTCTGTCGTGTTGGATTGTTGGAATCTTCACATAAACGTACAGTGCCATTGCTTATTTTCCTTGTAGACAATAATGGACATTGATTTTGAAACCAACTTATTTTATATAGTAGTGGAAACTTTCAGTTGTATGTAAGAGACATAGAACATTTTGGTTCTTCCCCATTGTTTACATTTGCGCGAAGGATTCGAAATTATCATTTCGTCTAGTTGTTTATGGACACATTCTAAATAATTCCTTATGTTCATCGGAACGTAGCTTCAATAGCACCGTCGAAAAGCGTTCGTACGTGTTGATGCATTACGAATATATTACGTTATTTTGGTCGTCGTTCTCGTGGTACCTATCGTTTCTCTACTCTAAGGTTTGTGGGCATCAACTTTAATAGCTCGGAGTCCTTTCTCTACTGATTCTACGCAATGGTTTCCCTTTTACTGGTACAGATAGGGTAGTCGTAAGCTAAGTTTTAGATGATCTATCTCAAGCTGGGCTGCAACACAGTCTGTTACCTTGAATTGATTCGCCTCCTGAGTCTCTCCTCCTTACCTTGCAGTGCCAACGCAACGCATCACTTTTAGAAAAGCCCCTAGTATGTTATCGTTTGGAAGTTACATTTTCGAGCCTTTTCTTCTGTATTTACCACGACATTGAGCTGTTGTTTGACTGGCCATTTACGGTAGTAGCAGAATGTTCCTGCGCTCAGTGGCTTTGACGCTCAAACATGCTTTAAGCTGTCTTGTTCCTGAAACTTATTGGATGAACGTACAGCTTCTCATATGCAAATATAGAAAGATTACAAAATTCAACATTTGGTATATATCCCACAACTTGCTGCTACATAATAGCGGTCTGCGAAGGCTAGCGTGTTGGCCAAAGCTTTGTATAGGCACCGCCATGAAAGTCAAAAAAATGAAAATCCGCAGAAGGCAGATTATGATAACGTGATTAATCATGTTCTAAGAGAGCACGATGACGAATTAGCACCGGTGTAAAATAACACGCGAAACTTCGGCCTCAGAATCCTTCTCCGTAGTGTAATTTGTAATTGACGATAGATCTAACGGCGAATTAAACGATACCTTGACACATTTGCTCAAACGCGCGTAAAAATAAAGTAATTATATATATATATATATATATATATATATTGCTTTGAAATCAGGAAAGTAGATACCATTTTAATAGCAGAAATATGGCTCTCCGAAGAACAGGAAACCTAAATACACTAGCTAATTCGGATTATTCCAGGAAGGCAGATTATCGTCTAATGGAGACATTCTTGTATTCTTAGTAAATCAAATGCCGTGTTTCGAAATTAAGATCAGATCTTTTTCGTCCGAAGTTGTTGCTTACAGCGTCGGAACCCGACAGAGTAAAGCGACCTATGATAGCCTACTTCATGTAAGCCGCATGCAAACGCTGAACGAACCTAAAATAGTAAGATGTCAATATACAATATCCTATCTAACCTGATCTAAATCCGTCCTGTTCTATCGATTGGAACATGCCGAGCGTACCAAGCATAAGCGTGCAAGGGAGCATTTCTTCTTGATGTTTTTTGGTACGGATCTTTACCTAACACACCACGAACATGACGCCTCTCCTCGCCTCGCCTCGACATTGTCCTATATAAAGGCAATTCAGCGTCAGATTTTCAGGTGTTCCGAAAGCGATCGGCTCGAGTCACTTTTAATTGAAATTCTGCATCTAGGATGAGAAAAACTCAACCATGCAAAAAAAAAATAGCGCTGCAATGAAACCTAAACTGTACTTAATAGGCTGGAAGAGGTTTATTAATGATCGCAACCGCACATGTGAACAGCACGTACGGATTCATTAGCTTATTGTATAACTGACGAACGCCTCTCATATATGTGCGGCGGATATATCTAGAAGAAAATGATTCTCACAAGGTTGAGTACCTACACTTGTTTACTACTTATCTACAACGAGTAACCATAAAATAGCACATATGTCTTCCAACAGGTACTTCATTACGAGCTTTCAAGATACTTCCCCTTTCAGGCGTTTGTGACCGATTGGACTCTAAGCATCCGCATCTTACCTGTGAGAGCCAATGGATAATAGCATACAATTTTTTCAAGATACATTTCATATAGATAATACACCGCAACTGTAATATCCACGAGTGGTCTAACAGATTTAGAACTACCGGTTAAAAAATGCGTCGTTCTACACTCGATGCATGGAAATTCTAATCATACTCCATCTTGCGGGCAATCTACAAACTTTTTTCAGGGTTTAGGGGCTACTACAACAGCTATCCTAAAATACTATATAGTTCTCCGCACAACACACCGTTCTGATTCAGTCTTACGCTTATCTTTTCTAAAAAGCCCAAGCTTCTGTGAGCCACGATATACGGTGAGCCACTCATAGTGTGTGCAGCATTAGTATGGTATTCATTTTTGAAAAGAGACACTGAAAAGCTTGAAGAAGGGGGTGCGTACGTAAAACGCGCGATCTTGCAATGGCTGTGTAGGGAAACAGAGCTGGAAATCCCACTAATTCTTGGTAGGTTCCACATAACGGATAGAAAGGCGTTCGAACGTATCAACAAGCAGCTTCCAAACTCGAAAACAGCACTTCTGTCAGTTAAATGTCACACCTTACAAGAGGTTTCGGCCAACAAACGATACGTAGATGGCCTATTTCGATGAAGACTTTCTGCGCGCTCCGCAAACAATTATAAAGCAATGGAGAGCATAGTTGTTTTTATGCGCACACGCATGACTCTAACAAAGGGGTTAAAGTGTGCAATCACACCTGGAGCTTTCCTTGTGAATAAGGCAGGTCATAAGCAAAATGTAGCTCAGTGTGAAGTTAATGAGAGTTTCACTAAACTTTTCTCAGCATCTAACTTCAATTGGTTGAAAGAGTTTAACTTATAGAATGTTTCGGAAAGGCTAAAAGTGGCACAGCAGTCCGACTTTTCTTCCAACTTTTACTATGAACTTTTATTATTTGTTGCTACTTTCCTATTTGAAGTTCAGCAACGAAATTTTGTTATCGTTTAGACATCTAGTCTAAGCGGTATAATATTTAGTGGTCAAATATGTATACGTACGTTAATAGATAATCCGTCAAGGTGAAAAACTCTTAAAACAGAGTATAACTGTAGTTAGTGCTGATAACTATAGTTATAAATAGTAACTGAACTTGACAACGAAATAATTTTTTAGATAAATGCTCCAAGAGCATATATATATATATGAGCCCATAGAAAATTAAGTGTAATATATTGAACCAACATATAGCTAATGGGAAAATCTACTACCATGCACATTGGCACTCAACTTTTATTGTGTTTGGCTAGGATTAAGGTTAAAGGGTAAATATGCCCCGAAGAAATTTAATTAGGTGTATGTAAAATAGAGCTTAGGATCCCAGGTTGTGACATCAAAGTCATTCAAACTAAAGCCTTGATCTCATTTAGAGGCAACTGAATATTTTTAATTCTTTAATTTTAATTAATAAATATGTTTGAACAATAACAGAAACATGGAACGCCAAGAAAACCATTAGAACATTGGTGTTCCACGTAGTGTGTACTTTTCATCAGCATCGAATGCCTTTATGAGCAACGGTTAGCATATTGATAGCCCGAAGTAAGAAAACAAATATCATAGACAAATACGAAGACAATGAATGCGAACGGAAATAGCGAGATATAATCTTGAAGGGGTTTCGGGGTGGGCACACAAATAAAAAGTGTTTACGTTATTATATAAATATAGAAGCAACAGGTTAGGTAAATGACTGTCGAGATGATGCAAACATGTTACAAAAGAATGAATTATTTTCAAACAGGTCATAACCGTTAAGTTTATATATGCCCTCCAAATAGGCCGAACAACCTGAATAAACGGTCTTTCCGGCAATTTATAGCAAAGTGTAAAAAAGCAAATCGCTATACAGCCTAAGATACGCCTGACGAGATAGTGCTTTATGATATAAATAGTGTAGGGCTTTAAATTCACGTTAGAGGAACCAATGATAACATCTGATTAAGACTAGCATTTATTAAGTATAACAACAACGAGCATTACAAGAAGACACCCTATGCTAACGGTTTTGTTAAAACAAGTTCCTATGTGTTTTCTTTCAATCGCTTAAGTTACAAATCGTATCGTCGCAACGTTTATTTAAATTCATTTTTCTCATGATTATTTCTGCAATCACGTTTTTCGATGACACTTTTTTCTGGCTTGTTTTTTCTCATCCGGACGAAGCATGGAGGAAGGCTTGGTTAGTTCCGTGGACAGCGGGGCCGGCAAATGTTTTGTGCTTTGTGAATCCAGGAGCATTCACAGTGTAACCGTGCGACGGAGCGAAATTGCCTCGCGCCTGAGGGGGCTGTGGGGTAATATACAGTAAGTCAATCGTAACACCTTTTAGACGAGCACTGCATAGGATGCGCTTCAAGGCGAAGAACAAGATGAAATCACTGGCCGCTATATATAAGCAGAACTGGATACACAGTACAACACAGGCAGCTTATATTTTAATAGATTGTACAAACCACAATCACGGCTGCAAATTTGTTCTCCAATGCTTAAATTCTACCATTGACGCTATATCACGTGCGCAACAGATATCTATCTCTGCCAAACTGGGTAACTTGGTGCTCTTTTCATTATAGTGCTACTGACAAAAACGACATCTAGCTAGATCCTGATACTCCATGGGCAAAACCTGCGCGGTTTTATGTGTGACCTTTTATGGTAACAAAAATAAGGGTAAAGCTAAGGGAAGTATACTTACAGCATACTGGAAGCGAGAAGGCTCGCGTTGGATAGTAGGATTAAACGGGCTCCCTCCAACGGCTCCGCTCGATGAAACCAAACGGCGCCCTCCGGCAGCTCCACCATAGTAGTTGGAAAGGGGTGCAGGAGCACCCCCAGGGCCACGAGACGAGAGGGTAACAACCGTCGTGCCAAGAGCGTTGCCGCCCAGCTGACGTCCAGCGGGCACACCGGCACCTGTTTGCTGACGAGGAAGAACCGCGTTGGAACTAGTGAGGAGACGTCGTTCACCAATCACAGAGCCTGTCGGACCTCCCACACTACCGACATTTGATAACGTAAAGGAGCGCTGTGTCAATGTGACTTGAGGATCGGCATTAGAGGATGACAGGGGCACGTACGACCTGGCGACCGCTGGGCGGGCCACTGGGTCGGCAGCAGCCGCGGGCCGGGTAGCCGGTCCGGAAGATAGACCAGACCCGTAACCAAATGTAGCGGTATTTGTGAGACCAGGTGCGTTGATGGTGAATCCGTGTGAGGCGGGATCCGAGTACTGCGCCACGACAGCACCGGCCATTACCGTCAGTACGTACTTCAATGCAAACATCATCATCACATAGTAATGACAGACAGGTGCGTAGCATAGAAGCCCAAAGGAAGATTAGGGTCGATAATGCAAACCATTGACATCGAAAAAATGTTAGACAGAAAATATAAATTACAGTGATTACAAACGAAAACGAAAACTCATTTATCACATATAGAAACTCCAGTTAGTTTTCGTACAGACACAAGTAGCAGTCAGCTATTCAGTGTTTTCGAAGCACACGGTCAAAAACGTTTGCAAAACCGAAGCCTTTACTTTAGCTGTGACGCATCCAGCTATACATAAGTGCAAGGTATACTTCTAACTTAGGTTTGCGCATGATTTCACTTAACGATTTTTACTGAACTCCGGAGAGCATGGCCAGACGTAGGCGACAGCGCAGAAGCAGCACCAGAGAGCAAATAACAAGATCAGTGTCGAGGAGTGTCATCAAAATAAGCAAAGAAATGATTTTCGCCATCGCCGTACAGGACACAGACATTAGGACGAACTACGCTGCCTTACCAGAGGGTTCATGGTGAGATGAAGACGACGACGGCTGTGAGATGACTACGACGACGCGCTCGCTCGCGTTAAATAGCTCGTCGCGCGGCTGACAGCACCGGCCATCGTCGACGCGTTACGGTGGCATTGAGCGTCTGCGGCAGGAGGGAATCGCAGAGAGAAGAGACTGAGACAGTTTGCCGACTGGTTACGCTTTTCTACCAGTTTGTCATTAGACTATTGATGAGGGCTTCTGTGTGTACATGCACACGCAAGCACGAACGCAAACGCAGATAGTAATATAATATTATATACCTATTTAGACATCAGAAGAGGCTGCCTGTTCGATTATGCCACTACTGCTACCGGCACAACTAGCAGGATAACACTACCGGGACAGGAGTCGAGCATTCAGACGCAAATCTTTACAATTATTATTATATTTCGTTTTTCGTTAGTTCATTTGTCGGGCAAAACGAAGAGGGCCGTTTTCAAGGTTACTTTGGTTGTATGTACGGTATTAACACACGGGCCAATGGTATACGTGGTACTACAGCTTCTGTTTTTCGTCCTTTGAACGACTATTAGTAATGCTTCAGTTTTCCGTATTTATCTGCTATCGTGAAAACAGAGGAATTCTCGGATTCTTATCCATGTACACAGTAGCAGTGACAGACCCTCTAAATAGCACCACCTTTCTCGTCCCGGCTGCTCGAGCAATCTGCTTGTTTGAAAAGCGTCTAACTTTGCCCCCTTCGTCAATGCTGCGACGTTGCTGCGATCACCACCTGTACTGACGTTACTATGTTGGCCAATGCAGCGTGGGGATATTGAATTACTGGGGGCATCCATGACGAACCACAACACCTGCAAAAGCATAGCGCTTGTCGCTCATAAATCACATGACGATAACGTCATATGACTGTACGCGATGCAATTAAAAAAGCTAATCAGCTGTGGCGCTGGCACGTGACAATATATTTAAGTAGATAGCAGCTTACAGAAAAGGTTTTCATCTCATGAGGAAGCTGCTTCATCGTTTATCGATCGCCAGTTTTTGATCCTAGATTAAAACGAGCAAACAGCAAGGGCTTCACCAAAAGGCCAACAGTTATTGATAATCGCATGCGTTAAGAATAGGTCAACGAAACCGTAGTTAGCGGACTTCAGATCAATTCGCAAACTCGAGCAAATATAGCCTCTCGAGGGCAATGCGAAACGTGGAAATGTTTACCTTTGCACTTATACAAAACGCGATTCGTCTTTGAGACTGCCAAGAGAAGGATCACATTGACTAGCTCGTACGAATTAGCTTTCTGAACGACTCCGAACATCTTAGAAAATATATATCGTGGTGCAGCTTCGATTGCCCCTAGCACCCGCAATATAGTACTGAAGCCATTGTGAATGGCGGACACATTCAGCCGGGCCGCGGCTTTGTGGTTGTCTCGTACATTAAAGCTAGTAACTTTCAAGCAAGTTTTACTGAATTTGCTATTGCACAAAAACGTCTAGTAAGCTAGTAGTCGAAACCCTTAAACGCTTGCGGAACAATCAACAAGTGTCATGTTTTCTAGCCGATGACAATAGTTAAGTTAATAACGGTAGCAGAGTTCAAGATCATTTTGATAAACAAGCATCTTTGCCGGTATTTTAAGATATGTTTATTTAATCGGCCGTGTAAGAAACGTACAATCACCTTTCGATTGCGTATCTAAGGGTTATTGCGTGTTGAAAGGTAGACACCTATCTGGAAACAATTTTTAATCTCGAAAAATTCTTATTCGAATAAATTTAAGCCTAAACATCTTATTTGACATCACAGAAAGTACGCTCAAACAGCGAATAGATAGACAACACGTATAAATAACTCCATCGAGCCTTCGATCCCTTTATACGTTTGCATACGCGCCTGGTTTACAGATGCTATTTTTTTTATCACGTTATCAGATTCAGTCAGTGGCAAAGCAACAGATTCCTAACTCAAATACAGCGGCAGAAGTCACCGGTTTGATGAGATTACTCCCGCCGCTAACGTCAGTGGTAACATCAATGACATCGTGTTGCTGATAGAAACTCACTTGTCCCTGCGCAAGAAACTTCAAACTGGTTCATAATGTCTCTGCTGTCGATCGGCTGTCTAAGCTTTGGCTCTTTTATTCAGGTAGACATGTTTGATACATCCGAAGGAATCACATATTTATATCTCTAGTCAACGTTACAGCATTCGAAACACAAACATTTCGCCTCTATATTTGCCGAAGCATGGCGCTTACGAGATCAATGTCGTTCTCTCGGCACATAGATATGTCGGCAGGCTGAAGCAGGCCAACAACAGTTGATCCTTGTGGCGTATGTGATGGAATCTATCTTGTTTCAGCATTAAGGGTGAGCATCAAATGTGTTGAATATTGCGTGTCTGAAGCCTTATTTTATTTGGAAGATAAATATTTCTTGGCTGCAGTCGATAATATCGACAAGTATTTACAGCCTTATCTTGGAAACTGAAGCTTGAACACTTATTGACAACACGGATATCTGCTCATAGGTATATTTTCACGGCTAGCAACAACGAGCTTCATACGCGTTAGCACCGAGAACCTGCAACCAAGGGGTCTCCGGTTGGGCACATGCAAATTCAAGAGGCGGTCTTGTATTTGCAAATTTACTATTGTACTAAATAAACATACCTAAGAAAAAAGCCGTCCAAGGATAAGAACATGTCCCACGAACTTCATCTGTCTAATTGTGTATCTGTTGGCCAAGTGCTTGCATTGGTGGGCCTTAGGAGTTATTTAAGATCCATCATCAAAAGTAAGCGGACGTTGCAGCCGTTTGAACGAAAACTTATTAGCATTGCCGAATGCAAAATTCCAGGCCTCTTGTCTGGTCTGTGCGTGTGTGCGTGGGGTGTAGATGAAACCCAAATGGTAATATCTATTGAAGTCAAGGAGCTTCATTTTTGGTTGCAGACGTTTACCAGGCCATCGTGTCAGACTCTGAAGAGCTTGCAATGCTTAACAAGATTGTTTTTCTTGTACATAGTGGACCGAACATGTCAGCATCCATATATACTCTCTACATGTTTAAAACAGTAACCGGAACTGTGACAAATGGCCCCAGCTTGTAAGATATGCACAACATTATAAGCATACTTCTACTGGCAATGTGTGCCGTATGTCCCAAATGCTATGTTACTGAGGTGGCCGTTTCGAGATTTTCATACGATTTCAATTGTCCAAAGTAAAACGTCCGATTGTCGATCGTTTTTAGGACCCCACTTTTCAAATATCCCTATAGGAAAAGTCTGGTACTATGAGGTTGTACGGATTAAGCCATGGTACGGAAAATTGCGCATTCGTTAAAACTTACCCCTTCAATATTGACTTCTGTGTTTAGAATACGATCTAGCAGATGGCACCGTTTTGTTGAGACCCACATATCACCCCACTCAGACTCACCCAGGTGCGGCCACAGAAAATACTTTAACGTGTAGCTGTAACGAGGATGATTAACATTTGAGCAAAAAATTATTTCAATGGCAGCTGGCCAGAATCTACAGTGTAATGTATGGTTAGTTCAGTTCTATAAAGTGGTTGTTTGTAAACGGTGTAACTGTTCCTGTATACCTAAATTCGATATTAACATTTCTTAATATTCGCTGGGCAAACGTATGCATGCTTCACATGGCAGGTAATCTGGAACGTCTTGTGCGAACGAGCGAATTGTATGGGACCTAACCTCAAGGTTATGATGCAGTACGTATGAGCTAGTGGCCTGAGAAACAGATGTCCTCAGCTACATTAATAGCTTCTCACGTGTGCCTAAGGTACAAGATAGGCCCAATCTTTAAAAAGCTAAGACGGCGGGGAAATTTCGGAACGTGCAGTGTACGATACTATCGTAAATAATCGGCTCCAACCCAAATGCACGACAACACGACATTCTTCACCGGTTCTTGCGAACGATATTTCGTCCGCATCGAAGACCGGGCCTTAGCGTGAGCATGTGCTGAGCAAGATGATACATCGCGAATGGATAAACATATTTACCTATGTACGTATGCCATCATCACTATTCGATTAAAGCAACCTAGCCTAGAAAATATGCAGCTAGGAGAGGCTTCCTAAGCAATAAACGTCCACGCGTACCAGAGACAAAGACACGCGCCTTTGCCTATCAAAGGAGTGTATAGAAAGGGCTTCTAATAAATATAAACCATACATGATTAGGATTTACATAATGAAGATATAGATCGTACACTGATGGAAACTGTAAATCGTACTGGCCTTGCGTGTAAGAACTATTATTCAATGAAAATTTGATTTAGACTAGCCCATTGAATGCCGTTTAGGAGCTGGCGTACTTATCGAACTACCGTGTACTTGATCGGCTCGAATACATTAAATTTGCAGAACATTCCGGAGGGCAATAGAACCAGGACTCACATTACATATAACGTTGGGGTGACGTTTACCGGTGACACAGTAATAACCATTCTACAGAGATGAAAAATATTGGTATGTACAGCGGTAGCGCTAGTCGCCACCGTCGTTAGAGCTGCTTGTCCATGTCTATAATAATGATAGTCTCGCGCGCCGCATATGGCGGCATGTTATGGCAAATGTGTCTCTGTGCTTCGTCACGTACGTGATCTGATCGAAGCTCCACTGCGGCGACAGAACAGCAAAAATGACACATGCGGGTGGCTGGTAGCGACGATATCATGAGTGTTATTACTAATACAAAATTTACAAGTAAAAATAATAAGTTTTCGATGCGCCAAATGCTAATCGACTTGGCGTTATATTACTATCAATTGTCAAATGAATTGTTTATTTTGTTGAGTATACACGAAACTATATGGCCGATCGTAGATATTTCAGAGGAGCGAACCTCTAAAATGTTAATGAAGGTTATTCGCCCTACTCGAAAGATACATACATATAAATGCCCCTTACGAGGGCTATAATGTTTCGGTAAAATATTTTATGCAGCAGCTTAAATTATGTCAGAACCGATGTCCTCTATAGAGGCCCACTATTTATGGTGCGGTGGGACACTGCGGTTTTGGGAGCATCTGCGCAATTGCACAAGAATCACATTCATTATTTATTATTAATTAAGCCATAGCCTAGGCTAATTATTTTTTCATAGAAGTAGTTTTTTTTTGGAAAAATTACAAATCTAACGGGGACATACGAACTGACAACGAGTCTGGCTACGCATGGATTCGCAGTTTATTCATAATAACTTTTTGATATACACAACAGCCGAAGGAAGTAGGCCACAAAACGTAATGTAAATTTTGCCTGCACTATGTTTTTCCACTCACTATTTTTTTTCCAAGAAAGGGTAATTATCTGTTCTAACAGACACGAACACACACATGCACATATCGGATAGCAGAAGCTAGAAAATAAAGTTGAAGTTGGATTTAGAAGTTAATTCTGCCAAATTAAAAGCAATCATATTTGTATACTAATCTTTTGAAACTATTTACGATAGCGCAAAAGAATTGGAGAAAGTAATCAAAAGACTTTATTTATTATACGAGTTATTACAGTTTAGTTTTGAATTTTACATCGAACTAATGTAATATGTGAGGTCGCTGGGGAAGGTCCCAGGACGAGTCAAAACATCTAGACTTTAGCGCCACTGCCGAATGTAGCGCCATTCATAAGACAATTGGGTTCATTGCTTATATGAATGTTTGTCTAAATGTATAGTAAAGAATATAGCACACGCCGCTTTTCCCATGATCACTTGTAAACCTTTCTACATGCGCACAAATATACAACGATGATGCTTCGTATTTGGGACTTGATCAACACGGCAAATATGTAACAAACGACAATAAATGTGGATTTATCCGGTAAAAGAATATAGATATGCAAAAAGTACACACACTACATTTAACTGTAGAAAAGGAACTAGGTATGCATAAACTGTTACAGTTCGTTCAAATGAGCTAACCTAACTTCGAACTAACTTCTAATGGTCAGTCGCAAGCAGGCCTGTCTGATTCACAAGGACAATCTGTTCTGTAGCAGTAGTTAGGTCCTTTCGAAATCACGGACAGTTCACAGTGCTGTCATTAAGTGAGGTGAGCCCCATACATCGAAGTTGGTACTTGACTGAAATCACGGTGCCAGATGGACTTACGAGAAGTGCTCAGGAATCACACTAGGTTCTTCGTGAAGACCCAACATACATCTTAGAAAAGATGATCAGACAGAGGTGCAGTGTCAACGGTAAATAAAGAGAGCTTCTTTCTCTTTCTTTAACAAAAAGTTAAAAAAAAACTACTAAATGGATACATTTTACAGTAACATTTCATTTGTTCATTTGCTGTACATCGTCAAAAACATTTGATATAAATATTATTATAGAATTTTGTGCCACACAACAAGCTTAGAATTTAATTTTAAACTATTGTCAGTTGTGTGTGTGTGAACGAGATATTTCAACTAAACAAGCTGCTAGTAATGTAAATAATGTATAATTTGGCTTATAGAGAAATAGATATTATTTCTTAAACAGAGTTATTTAGTGCTTAATTGGATAATATCTAAATAATGTTGCTCATTAGCTGGAGTATTCAAAAGGTAACAATTCTCTAAGTTGGTTTCAAGTTGAGCATTTTTTGAGGCATAGCGCAACAATAAACTAGCTGTTGTTTTGAGTTTATTAATTCTAATGGCCACTTACTTAGTTTCAGTTAAAGGCTGAAACAGCTCTTAGGTCGATCTTTCTCGAAACTCGGGATTGATTTTACTACTGAGGAGCTCCTGAAACAATGCTCATACGTGTGCACTCAATGAAGTTTTTCTTCAGCACGCAAGGTACATTTAGCGGACTTTCAGGTCAAAGGTTCCAAAATTTCCAAGGCCCAAAGACTGCAAAAGCCGAAAAATCTAGAAAACTACTGCTGCAGATATACATACACCCATCTCGATTACAGCTGCTAGTTTAAGCTCAAAATTGTATGACCTTTTGGCGCAATTTCCATGATCTTCTCTTTAGTACAATGATTTCTATTCTGCTTTGAAACCTGCAAGTTTTTCTTAAATTCCTGGGAAGCCCAATACGACCGGATATAGTACAAACCGTCGGTTTTATACGTCTATATACGTCATCAAGGACGTACTGGTATGTTGAATGGTACAGCAATTGTTAAGGCGACCCAGAAACGTTCTTCCTACCTCGGGTATTTGCAGAAGTTTTTCCCGCCCAGATTTACCAATTAAACGATTAAGCTTCGGGAAATTGCAGCTCTAAAACGAGCTACGATTCTTGCTCGAACTTCATAATATTAGTGAAGACCCGTTGCTTGCTAAAACATTAGATGTTTGTGTTCGCTGATATTCCGAAAGCGGATCTAACGCTTCCGCTGTGAGGAGTCTGTGACTTATACTATTTAATTAATACCAAGAGTAATTCTAAAGCGGAACGCTGTAAGTGTAATATACAGTCATTTTTTCATTTTAATTTTTCGATGAAGGCATATATAGTACGAGATAGTCTCTCCAGTAATCATACCTATGAATAGTGCATACATATAATAAATAATACTTCCTACGTTCATTTTTCCACTAAGCTAATGTTGATATACCGCTGCTCCCATATAGAACACATTATTTGCTTCGGTAGTCCTTTAGTGCACGAACTGCATGGAACCCATTCGATGGGGGTTCTATCAAATCTGCCCAGCGTGAATGAAGGCCTCGTAAGTGTCATGCACGGCGGGCCCTGCGAAGGTTTTGGGCTTCGTATTTTTCGGGACATTGACAGTGTACCCATGCGACGGTAGGAAATGATCGCGCATCTGCGATGCCTAAAATAAGACGAAATATTTATTATATGTCTTTTAAACCACACTATAGATGCTTACACATTGCCATCCAGTTGACAAGTTATTCTTATAAAAGCAGACTTTATATATATTTATATATAAAGTTATATATATATATTAGAAAAAAAAATATATATATATATATTTTTTTTTAATTATAGAATTCGGTGAAACTTATATGTTTTATTGAAAGGAACCTCGTAAAGATAGCCTCATTGATACCGAGTCATCCAGACGCTGTCAGCTTATGATTAAAATGTTCATATCGTAACTTGCTTCGATATCTACAAGTGAAAATGCAAGAATGACTCAGGATACAAGGACTGCCATCGACCTGTAATACTAAACCTAGCATTAGCAGTCGATATTAGCATGTGCAAAATGATTTTACAAGCTCACATATTTAAACGTAATCACATTACGATCGATCCTTAAAAATGTAACTTACAGGTAAAGAATAAACCTTTTCTTGAGTGTTGGTCAGACACGGTTGGGGTTCGTACACTAAAAAATGTTAGTGTTAAGGTCATGGGCTTGACGTTAGCAAATAAACTATATAGCAGCAAGTTATAATTAAAACTTAACACATATGATCCTGCTGACATTATGTGAAGTTTGTCTGGTCTGCGAATTACCTGGTAATTGAACCTCGTAGGCTCTTTCGTATGAGTGGGGTTGGATGGATAATAACTGTGGAGTGCATTGGGCGTTTTCACCTGGACCCCGCCGTAAATATAGCCATCTCGGCCCATAGCGCGCGATGTTTGGGATGCTCGCACGTCGTTATATGTGCGGAAACTCTGCGTCGATCCCGAATCAAATTTCGCGTACGGGTTAACATTGCGCATACTACGCGGTGGTTGGTAACCAATAACAATAGAACCTAACGACACCACTTTGTGCGCAGGAACTATAAAAAATCAACAAACACGACTGTGTATTTATCTGTCTATGTATACGAACGCTGTTTTTAAAAATCAAGCTCCAATACTATAAATGTAAGTTTCAAGCATGATTTTTTTTCCAACTGACAAGATACGTATATATGTAATAAATAGCAATAAGCGGCTCCACACCGATGTGACACACCTCGAGTAAGCAAAAAAGCCGGTGTAGTCCAATGAGCGATTCACGAATCAAGCTTTAATAAGAGAAAAAAAACAAATCATACTAACATATGAAGCAGTGAATGTAGCTGTTATTGGTTACGGCCGTTATTAGATGTCTCAAACTAGCCATGTACGAAAGGCCGAAGCGACAAGCAAGCATATAGACAAAATTTGTTAGAGGTTTTTCAAAAAATATGGGACCATCCACATTAGAGAGCGACGTAAGGGAAAACAGTTTCTTCACATCTGCTGCCGTTAGCAAAGCCAAGAGGAAAGGGTTAGAATATAAATATGGCAATATGCAGTTTTATAGTATGGATCGGTGCCGCCGTGGGATGAGTGAAGGCATTTGCAAAGAGCTATAACCGTGCGTGAAAGTCTTATAAGCTTTATTAGCCTCGTAATGCTACAAAATAGGTCGCTCTTACCTTGTGCTCGAACGTAAACGATCACAGCCAAAAAAAGGTATACCTGAAAAAAATTGAATTACACGCATAAGAGAATCTTATTAACTTTATTTAAGACAACCTAAGATGCAAAGAGTTAGCTAGCAGTGAAATCAAGTGGCCACAATCGGTGTAGAAGGTTCTTAAGGACCAGGCTATGGGTCAAAATTTGAATTGCTGAGCGTCTGAAGCAATACTTCATCGAAGCAGTACCAGACGTAACACTCGAAACATTTTCAAGTCAATGTCGAGTGTGCAAGTAGCACAGATTCGATGATCCAACATCGCGACCATTTTGAAAGCTCGTTTGGTAGCGAAAGAAACTTATAGCAAGGGTGGTGCCGCACGAACTGCGGAGATGGAGACGTGTCAAGAACTGTCTTAGAATAACCTTTTGGATCTACACTTACTTCAGCGGGTTCCTACAGGCTAAAAACGAAAGTGCAATTTTCTGAATGTCGTTGGATCGAAAAAAGCTAGTTCTCTTTTATTCACGGTGTTTTTAGTTATACCTCTTGATGCCTAGTGGTCCTGCTGTTCCTAAAGACCATGATCAAAAAGTTTAACCGGGATAACTAAGTGATATGTACTAAAACAGGCCTTAACCCTGGGAAAATAAATCATGTGTTCTTCGGCACAAAAGTGCATCACCTAATCATATGTCGCGTTACTCGTGTTGCATCTGTTGCACCCAAACTCGATGCTTGAACCGTCCTTTTGAGCAATTCTAGCCGTTGTGACCTTTGCATCTTCCCAAAGCTCAGGGAAAGTAGCAAGCCAACGTAGCGCTAAGGCCTATTTCCGTATTTCAGCTCGGAAATTGTTTTAACGATCTTAAAAAATTACGGCACACGTCCGTTGAATTACGATTTGCACGATTGAGGCATGTGGAAGTAATAAAAAACTAAACTCTCGGTGCTCCTGCTTGTCCCATATAACTATGTACATGAATACGTCCGGAACATGTAACTCTATGATATGCAAGGCTGAAGAAATGTAATAGAAACTAAGCTCGTTGCTGGGCAAGCTCGGTCCCGTCCGCTCTAATGGCCATTGTTGACGACATCCATCATCAGTAGCGTAACGCTTCATTCCCTCTTCAGAACGGAAAGAGAAAAAGAGAAAATGCAAAAGGGGGCACGAAATGGGCGCGAGGCGAAGCTAACGAGTAAAATCCAGGTCTTTAGAACACAGATCAACTTTGCCAAGGTAAAGCATTAACGATTTGGTTGTATTCGTAAAAAAAAATCTTACCTGAGTACACATGTTGTTGCACCGGAAGTGTTACGAAGTGTAAGGCTAATGATTTTTCGTGTCGTTTTTATAGTAAATAACGACATCGATGGTGGAAAGAGTGCCTGCCTAGTGGATAATCGGCGACCCTTACTTAGGGATCAACAAAACAATTGCTTCAAATAAAGCAATCACTTATCAAATTGTTATGCCAAATAATAAAATATTGTATCTTTGATTAGGTTTGTCACCAACGAGCCATCAGAGACGCATATTCGGTTGCGCGGTGATAATCGTCATCAATAGTGGCAACAACAGGAAGAAAATATGTTTTTCTTCTCTAGTAACGTGCCTTTGCCTAACGAAAAAGGCAGCAGATAGATTGTTTTATTACGTTCTATTGATAGTTAGATGTAGCTAAACAACCCTCACACTCCCATTCCTTATCTTTTGGTCTAAATTAACAGATACTACGATTTAAAATTTTGGTAGGACGGATGCGATTAACACCTTCTTTCCTGCCCACAAACGATAGTCGGACTTCGCCTGTGGCCTAGCTAGACACCTAGAAGACGATTCCTTTCACACCATTTGTAAACTGATAACGTTAATATCGCATTATTCTCTACCAATCGATATCACCTACTATCATCTACGTCAACGGCTTGTTTACGAATGGATCTCATCGAATTAAGTATGCACTTCTCAGAAAACGGGCTGTTGTTGTCGTTTTTGTAGTCATCATGACCTCAGGCGCAGTTAGCCCGCTCGTTAATGACAGCCTCCTTTATAAAGTCATCGTGGCCAGATACAACGTTGTTTCTACACATGTGTTGTATATTGTTGGTTGAGTTAATATGTTTTGGTGTATATCGATGTAAAATTTCATCAACTGACAAAAAATATGACATATTCTGTACTATACAGAATTTCTTTGCCAGTCGTCCTTGCGTCTTATCGAGTTAAATTGCAGTATCAGATCCTACTCTTATTCCGATAAGCACAGATGCCTGGAATAACGCTAAGCTATAATTCAACGTATCCGATTCTAGACAAAAATAAAATCCGTAACGTCATGCATTCAAAGACTTAGATGTTTTTTCAATAATTTCTACGCTGTTGAAATCACTGTCGCACTAATCAACAACAAACCCTACGTGTCGCTTCCTTGGAGAATCACGTAATTTTGCATTTGACCTCGTTGTATACTTGTTCTATGAATTCGGAAGACGTGACGTCGGCTTGCAGGCGATGGCTAGTCAAAAATCACCTCAGCATCATGAAAAACAAAAATCTAGGCACGTAAACTGTACATGACAATTGTATTTGTTGTAGTTATTAGATATACATAGCAGTTGCAGTGTGACCCAGCAGCTCATCGTCAATCGTTGATACAATAGTTACTAACTGCTACGCGAAAAATTACCCTTTTTTGCATATATATATATAACATAGTTTTCTTTTTAAATTAAATAGCGCATTTCTATAATTTACTTGGTACGAGTTTATCAAAGACCATAAGCAGCATTTGATCGGATAGTAAGCCGGAATGATATTTTCCCTTTTTGTTTTTTTACTATTTAGAATGAAATCAAGTTTTAAAAACCCAATTTACAGATTACGAGTGCAATCACGTTGGTCTTCTCAACCACTACATAAGCATCTCCATGCCACTTAATAGTATAGTGTCGTACTAATATACCAACCTATCAATATAAGGCGTTTTATAGTTGAATAAATACAATTTGCACATATGTGATTATCCAAAAAAAAATTACCAGCAATTATTCAGCTAAGAAACGTGGTATTGTTGAGTTTCTCAACAGCTGTTTCAACAGCCGCAAAATCCATATGGTAAAAATACGAAATAATTATTCCATATCTTTAAAAACATGCTTTTTAACCAAATATTTATCATATCTGTCGGCAAGGAAGTGTTATATCAAATTTTCGGGATCATTGCTGGGACTGAAAAACATTTTCAGAATATTCCAACTAAATCTGCACAGAGTCTGAAATTGCAGTAACTGATACGTGGAGTGCGTTGTTGCGTGAGGCGGTGACCGATTCATTTGTGGAAATACTTACAGGACCACGTTGATTCCAGTAATTCATGATATAAAATGTCGCGTTCGATAGTAACCACCATACTCGTGTCATCATTTGTTTAATAAAGCTCTTCATTTCCAACAAGCCTGATATAGTAGTTGTTATCAATAATCGTTGTAACATGCGGCTAATTACTGCCTGTACCACTACAGAAACCGTGCCGAGGAGAAGCTGAGAAAAAATAATAATTCGAAAAGAGTTCAGGCAATGCAAGAAGTTAAATTAGCGAGACAATTTCCACCAGTGTTATCTTACTTAGTCTGATGATTACGTCACTTCCTGAATACTACACACTTTATTCTATGATTTTACAAAATTTGTCACGTTTGGCATTGCCCGGTTTAATCCTATGCACGTAGAATGATGGAATCATGGATGAGTCATAACGAAATTCTGTGAAAATCAAAGACTGAATATCAGTGTAAACCTACTTGCACAAGGATACGTTCATCCTGGCGCCCATTTTTGGCGATTTGTCATATTACTCTAATAGCTACATCTGTCTCACACTCAGATGAAAGTGAGTGAAATTAGCAATTTTAAAAGACTGGTCTGGATAATTAACCACTTTCGTTGATCACGTTGTACAGCATCAAGTGAATTGCAACTTGAATTCACTCAACCCCGGCCTTACTGATGGAGTCACATAATACTAAATATATGTAGAGTTAAAAATAGATATGTCTCGTCAGCAAGACTGCTTAGCATAGTTACCGCATTACATGGCGCCGTTGCGTGGTACCTAAGGCCAACACATCCCGTACAGACACATGTAGCGTCTCACAAATAAGAGCTAGTGAACATAAGACGTGGTGAAATTTCACATAGTGCGAGGCGCTGATGTATGTATTGTTTACTTCTCTTCGTCCCTTTTTAAGCTTCAGTGGGCATGGCTTCCCTGTTATAAAAGTGAGTGATTTTCCTTTCTTTTTGCCGCATGTACTAATAAACTCCAACTAAGCAGGGGTCAAGGCGAGTTTGAATCTGTGTTTCAAATGATCTTCAATTAGCGATTATCGAGATTCCGTATAAATCTAGTAAGGCCACTCCAATTTCGAAACGGCCCGGAGCCGTTCGTAAGGTAAATCTCGGAAGAGTATTTAAGTTCGTACAATGTATATACAAAACAGATAATGCTGTTATGTTAGCTCTGTATTGCTGGACCCTGGAGGGACAGTCAACACAGATTTGCGGGGTCGTAGTGACCGGTAGACAAGCCAATGTCAATTCTATCGTAGAAAACCGTTGAAACGAATTCTTAAGGTATTTTAAGGTTCGATTACGGCGATACACGACGAACACACTATCCCGTTTTAATAAGAGAGAATATGATTCATAGAAATTTTTCACTAAAAACTCCTATTACGAAAGCGCGCCTTAAAAACCATGTAAACAGATTGTATAGTGTATGTCATAGCCGGAACCTGTGGTTTCAGATGATGTAACCACGCCAGCCCACATTACATACTGTTCTGTTTTTGTGAAATCATTGGTATAAAGAGATAATTTTTGACTGTATCTTGATAAAGTGCGCAAACTTACTTTCTTGATATTAATAGGAAGAAATAATCATGGCTTTAATACTTTTACTTTAATTAAATTTAATTCAATTTGATAATTGATGCAGCTATTATACGTATTGCCACACAAATGCTTACGTAAAGATGCAAGATATGACGTGCTTAACAAACTCCTAGATTAACCGGTCAAGACTATTTTGTAACATTTTATAATATATGCTCGACTTGAACTGCAAACCACGCTCCGAAAGGTCACAAGAAGCGAACGTTGACGAGGTGCAGGCATCTTTAAATAACATCGACAGCTGAAATAAGCTGGAGAGATGCTAGGATAGTGCTTATTTTTTGTTATTTCCTCATCAACAGCATCTAGGTGCCTAGTACAAGCTGGCCGGCATGCACTCGCCGCAGCATTCGGCACTCATCTGTCTTCCCCTGTTCCCAGGCTCGATCCATTTGGCTGCCACCATAGTCATAAACGACGAAAGTTACTATCGGGTCACTACGATTCACTTAGCATCACACCCCTTATATACTGATCCGGGCCACAACTGTCTAGGAATTCTATTATTAATTAATATCTGCCGCACGTTTCTTTCTATCTCGTATATATATGTGTGTATACGAAATAGAGATAAACGAGCCTTAACGTACAGTCAGTGTTTGCTTGTTTTTACGAGAACGTATGTGTTTAGAAAACATTTTTAGTCTTTGTATAAACCTTCGTATTTTATTTACTTTCAGTATATAGCGTAAATACATAGCTCTAAATCAGTAGCAAACATTTAATACGGACTAAATTTCTAAGATGTACGCTAACTAATCGCTTAAACATTTCTTAACAGATGAGTTTATTAATTTTGTTTCTATGTTGAGCCGGCTTTATACAACTTCTCCACAATTGATGATAACCACCTGCTTTGACGTTTTTCCAGACGAGCTTCCTGCCCTTTCCATCCGGCGTACAATCTCCATTCCCGCAACTACTTGTCCAAAGACAACGTGTTTTCCGTCTAACCAGTCTGTCCGTCCGGTTGTTATGAAAAACTGCGAACCTAACAATTAAATATAAAGACGGTTATAATAATAAAAAAAATGTAGCTCCTGATTCTATAGTATACAAATTAGTTGCTAAATTTTCCCAGGTTAGAATTGTTAAGGGCAGCCGCGAGGGTTGTAAAAGTGCCGTGTTGTTTTTTTTCTATCTTACATAAGGTATACTTATTATTCGTAAGTATCTTTTGCATAACGCGTAAAGCATGTGACACAGTTTTATCTAGTTGCCGCTATTTAACTTTACACGATGCATGTCAGGTCAGAATAAAGAAGTTATTTCCGATTACCACACGCCATAACACTGCGTGAAACCCAAATACATATATATGTGGGCGCAGTATGCACCGTATCCATTAGTAGATTTCTGAATGTTGAGTATGATGACAAAAATATCAATAAGAGTTATTACTGAGCGTTCTAATTCGATGGTATTCGATGTTTTATATTTATTTTCGTGGTTTAAAAAAAAAACAGAACTTTTGCTTCAGACTTAAATATTATAGAAGCACGGTACCGATTTATTAGATTCTTAAAAAGCTCTTACTGGAAAGCGCTATTATACATTTCTAGAAAATTCTTAATAAGCATCTAGAAACTTCTTTTTTTATTCCTTAATGACATTATTATATGCAAATCTACTATATTGGCTATAGAACTTCTACCCATATTTGTGGTTTTTTTAAATTAGAGAGAAAATTGATTGGAAAAAAAGATTGATTATGTCTTAGGCTTTCCAACATCATACCAGTTACTTCATTTAAACTTACATGTCTGCGAAGAGCAAATTAACAGCTATTCGGCTAATAACATTGATACAGGACTAATAATTTGTCTTACCCTCTAAATGCCTTAAATAATTAAAAAAAAGTTAGCAAAAATATGCTATCGGATTTTTTTCTGACGAACCAAGTGAAAAACGGTGCCTCTGGGTTGTCTAGCTCGGATCCCTTTTCTACTAAAAAAACACTAGAAATACTAAAATTTAAAACGACAAATGTCAGGTAGTTAATTCTTGTGCCGTTGTACTCAACGTTTTAAAATGCAGCCTATTTGACTGGTGTTAACGATTTTCTCGTCGTCTAGATGGCGATATTGCATAATACATAGACATAATTTTTCTAAATTAGTAACGGGCTCCACAAAGGCAATAATCCTTAGATATATAAAACGACGAAAGCAATGGTACCTATCTATAATAGGTACGTCAACAAGTGATAGCGTTTTCTTGGTGTTTAATTTAACCTTCTTAGAGATGCATTTAGTTAGAAATTTAGCTTAATTTGCTCGTTGACTAATTAAGAAGGAAGATCATCAACTCTTTGCATTGTAGTTGCGCTTCTGCGGGTTAGATAGGCTACTGCCTTTTGAGGATGTATCTCTCAGAGTTCCACTCAGTTCAGTAGGAACGCTCAGTAGTACATATGTATATATGTTAGGTTAAACTAAGGCATCGTATTGTCGCATCTGTTGTATCACATGTTGCCAGCAAGTGGTTGCTTCTGAAAAAAATTTAGACAACTTCATCAACATAATGCATTGCTTGGATAAGACAATATAACCATGATCATTATGCAGGTTCCGGTACGGTCAAATAGGCTTTATAGGTCAGCAGAAAATAATTTATAAAGCTCTTTAAGTCTTTTTCAGCCATAATTACAGCTCTTTTGAGTGAAAAAAGATTTTCATTTAAGGTTTGTCGAATGGCCTATATAAGCCCACCTCTGGCCCACGTAACCTCAGATTGTAAGGTTATATTGGCCAACGACATTGGTGTCTCTAATTAATATTTTTATGTAAAAAAAAAAATGAATAAATTGTAGTCATCCGTTTAGGTAATATAATGGAAAAGCATTGAATGAACATACTGGTATAATTTTTTTCTCTTGTGGCACTGGATGTTCTCAACGTTAGCCTGAAGCAAATTTTTGTTCATATGGCCCAACCCTCACCCATGCGTATGAGAAGATTATTAACTAACCATTGCTGTTGGGCCCTGAATTTGCCATGGAAAGGATGCCTGGTCCGGTATGGGTAAGCGTAAAATTTTCATCCTCAAACTTTCGTCCGTAAATTGACCGTCCTCCTGTTCCGTTCTTATTCGTGAAGTCACCGCCCTGACACATAAAACCTGCAATTAATAATAAAGCAATGAATTAGACACCAATTTAGAGCTAGGGCTTTTTATAATATAAGACATTTCTTGTGAAAACTGACGTATTTACACCCTTATACTCATTTTTGAGTAAAAATTATGCCTAAGTGCTTTTTCCTAACATACAAAATAAAAATGGTAAAGCATAGAACCTTGTTCATAGAACTTCAAGATATTTTGTCTCATATGTAAAAATATAAATAACCCAATTTGTTACGTACTAAAATGCGATCATGATGGTATTCGATAGCACTATGTTACCTAATATATATATTATTATTATTATTAGGTATTATATTATATATTAGAAAAATTATACTATTGAGTAATATACATATATTTCAGCTGTTTTCGGTACAACGTAGCGGTGAAGGATAATGCGAGCACCCCCAACATATTCAGATATCAAAATACGATTTTGTGTACAAAGGTAGATTCGACCTCACTGGCTGATTGAATCACAGTACAAATCTATTACACAACAGTCTGTTATAAAAAGAAAAAGGTGTAATCTATAAAATACCACTTTGCTTTTCAACATATAGACAACAGATAAAAGACACTTGAGGTTTAAGCAAAGTCGGTAGGCCGTAGGGTGTAGCAGGGTTGGTAAAACTTTCGAAAAATAATCGAAGCTTGAAGTGTTAGAATAAAATCGTTCTTGGAATATTTTTCATTTATTCAATAGTGTGTATTTAAAAACAAATAAGGAGAATGGAAAAATGATTCCAATCACGTCGAATATTTGCTAAAATCTTGAAGAATCGATGAAATTTTGAATAAAGCTTAACTGAATTTTCATACGTAATTGTTTGCTGTTCCCTTTTAGCTTTAAATTATACAATACTGCATGCATTCACATTTATTCTAAGTATAAAATTATATGCATGTACAAAAATGGTTTTATTATATGTCTATCACAAAAAAAAAGGAGAATCACGTCCAGTTATTATTTTCGAAATTGTCAACCGATTTACGTTAGTGTCCTATAGAGTTTTTTACGAACTCGACGTAGCGCGTCAACTTTTACTACATTATAAATAATGCATAGCAATAATCGTAGGATAAATTCGAATGGAGTCCTCACCTGGAATAATTCGATGAAAGATAGAATTTTTGAAGCCAAAACCTTTTTCATGCGTGCAAAGAGCTCGAAAATTTTCAGCTGTCTTCGGCACAACGTCACGACGAAGTATGATGCGAATACGTCCAACGTGCTGCCCCCCTATCGAGATATCGAAATACACCTAAATATACAAGAAGGGTGTTATTCAGAATCACGACTTTTCAATCTTAAAACTAATGGATAAAACAAGACACACTCTGACCTTATGCTCACTAAATTCTAGTATTTAAAAGGTAGCGCAACCATAAGGATTCATATATGGTGACAACTACTGTTGATCGCTGGAGGTGTAAGGTATTCGGATCTCTCTTATTTATGGACAGGCGGTGTTGGTAATATGGTGATGTCACGATTAGAATATGTGCAAGACAAAGGTAGGTTGAAAGTAGATCCTTTTCCACAGCTGTAAATAGTGTTTTGTTAAACTACAAACTTACGTTGGTCGCCTTTGTCTACATAAGTGGTGAACAAGATCGTTGTGTCATGAAAAAATATTAATCCAACTCGTTTACTATCAAAACTTAGAGATCTACAAATTCTGACAGTAAGAGGATCACTACGCTTACTTGCGAGATTTTAGAGTAATCAATAAACTGAGAGTCATGACGTCCTCGCAGAATTGTATTGCAATACACATACAAACAAAGTATGTTAATTATTTTCTAGTAATAAGCTACCTGTGGATTTTCTCGTTTCGCATGGTCTACCGCTTGCTTCATGCTAACTTCCTGTAATGGTTCTTCTTCATGTCCGTCCGTTCTTTCTAAATCCTGTGGTTGGTTGGCCTGCTGTGTCATAGAATCATCTCCACCAGCAGAATGTTTTGCTAACCACTTATCATCGTTCCATATAGGCCTGAAATACAGCGAGAGCAACAGATATGAACTCTACATCTGAAACGCAAAATCCTATGGAGGATAATTTTAATTATAGAGAACAAAAAAGGCTAACAATTATATTTTGGTTTTAAGTTCATATTGTTGAATCAATGAGTTCATTTACATGATTATAAAAGGGAAGACGATGTGCGTAATACCTAGACGATCCTTCCTTGATGGACATCGGCTTCGCGGCGTTTACGCGAATCGTTCTTCCAAAAAGTTCTCCATCGTTCATGTTATCAATCGCCGCAGCTGCATCTTCTGCTAACTCAAATTCGATAAAAGCAAATCCCCGATGCTTCTCCGTTTCGTAGTCCAAAGGGATTTGCACATCGTTAATTTCACCTACGGGTACAAAGGTCGTATGTGTGAACTTCATGAAGTCTAGCTATAGAACGTGATAATTGAAAAAAAAAATATTTGGCTGTGAGTTTTTAATGTAGCAATAGACACAATTACAGTAGACTAAATATTGTACCAATCAACAATTGAACACACTGAAGAAAAGTATTGTTTTTTGGCTGTTGTCTTCCCTCTAATAACAGCGAAGCGACATGTCTATGTCTATCATTATCTAAAGGACAAAAGGTGCACTCGCACTTTGAAAGCGGCTACGCAGTTTTCCGTGTTTTGTATTTACAAGAGCGTACATTTAATATGGGAAGTTTGCTTTGACTCCACCTTTTCATGTAAGATCATATGCATTCCCGAGCACCTGATCTCCAAAGCCCTGTATCTACTAGTTTTTGGCTAGTACATTGCTTTACGTCTCTACGTAGCCATTGGTAGCAAGAAGTATTAGCTGAAGACACATTACTAACCAAAAGGATTGAAAGCAGCTCTAATAACGGACTCATCCACTTCTTCAGCCAGTCCACCGACATAGACTAATTTCTTGTTTTGGATCATATCGGAGCTTCACCACTCTTCAACTTCCCGACCAAGCTACGCGCGCCGTAAATCTTCTTTTCTCCTCCAAGCAGGCTAACGTTCTAACGCAAAGTGAACCAAATTTGCACGCTGCTTGTATGCTAAATCGATCAATGCAGATAACCTAAAGAATAAAGGGTCACAATCTTTCAGAAAATACATACAATAAGTTTTCAATGATAAGTTAAAAAATCAAGTATAGGTAGAAAACCTGCCCTTTGTTGTCCGCTTGGCTATGTGACAGGGTGTTTTTGTAAACGTACGTGTGGATCGATAGGTGCTGTGTCGGTGGTTGGGTTATTTTGCGTCACATATCCGCACTGCTGTTGTTTCAGTTTTCTAGGATTTTGGCATTTTCCTTTACAATTGTTGATTTTTTCGCTTGCAATAATGTTCTTCATTCGGCACTATTGTTTACAAAAAGCACAAATCATCCAAGCAAGCAGTCGCCCGACGCTTAAAGACGTCCTCGTGTTTATTCATTAGCCAAATAGCCATCTTGAAATAGCACTAACGCACGAAAACTACAGCGTTACTGACGGTGGATGGCCTTTAAGTGTGACTCGTCCTCTATTTAAACCTACTTTGGCATGGCATTTTCTTTCTAAGATCTTTTTTTAGTATATCGCAGAATAATCTGCATATTGCTCGCATAATACACGTGGATATTGAGTACATGTGTTTGTGTCTGTGAAATGCGGTCTCCTACAGGTTTTCGCTGAACTTTAATGCAGAACTGTATCTACAACATAGAATGTACGAGCCAATCAAAATCTGCCTGAGAATATCTTCCGCAGCAAAACTAGCGGCTCCAGTTAATTTGATTTAATCCGTATTTTGACTTTGCTGTTTTACCTGCAGTGAAATGCTTCGCGCAGTACAAAGCGCATCGATTCTGTCAAAATAGGTGTAGGCGCTCCAGCAAGGAACAACCATACCAAGCAGACGATCTAATCAAGCTGGCGCTAAACGGTGAACGCATATTGTTCAGCCCCTAGAGTCGTGTAGGTCTTCTTATAGCGCCTTTCATTGCGTAGTTCTTGTCTTGGCGAAGGTGTGATCAGCTGTGTGAAATTATGTGAAATCTCCTTAAAGTAGGAGAGCAGTGCAGTGGAGCTTGCGGCAGGAGAATCCTCCGTTAGCCGCCAGCTCTACAAAACAGAAGAAATTCCTCCATCGAACGGTTTCGGTGCTCCAAAGCTTATTCAAAGCCAATATTTAGGATTCACCACACATAAGGAAAAGTAGTCCGCCAAGCGCCGTGCAGCCGTACATTGTGTGTGTGTGTGTGTGTTGCCGAAGAAATCTATATTATAAAGTATATATAAAGAAATATTGTAACAAATATAATTATAGCTACTAATTTTGCATCAGTCACAATGGCAGAAGCTGATCCTGAGACCCTTCTGGAATGGCTATCGATGGGACAGGGTGAAGAACGGGAGATGCAACTCATTGCTCTCGAACAGCTCTGTATGCTACTTCTAATGAGTGACAATGTTGACCGGTGCTTTGAAAGGTTAGTTGCTGTGCTCGCATCGCCTAGATGTAAAAAAAATCTCTAGCTTTCATATTTAATACATAGTAACAAAAAATAAGGAATTTTCAACAGCATTTCCGTTCTAGAAACTGAAGGCTAAAAAACTCTTACACTTAATACCCATTTTAACTTTCTCATTATCTATCAGTCATTTCGCGTGTATCACCAACGATTTTAGAAGACCGAATTAGATGTGTGAGCAAGATGTTATTTGAATTGATTTGCTACTTACTAATGCTGCTTAATGGGCTAATCTACAATAATTTGCTGGTCAAAAAATCGCGTTACTGGCAATAGAAGAACAGAAACTACACAATAATTAAATATTTTCAACTCAATGTGAAGTTATTTACGCAAACACTTAATCTTCAAAGCGCAGCGCGCGACTTCTAAAAATACAACACTGCTCCTTAAAATAACTCGAATCCTAAATGGCTGAAAGTTAAATTAGCCTTATATATCTATACATTTAGCAGTGTACTGGATTTATTTTTGATTATTATATAAGAACATCAGCGGAATACCAGTTGAATGTTAAGCGCTTCCAAAGGAAAAGTTTAAGTAAATCACGTTCTAGTTAATTGTTGCTGTCATCGTAAGCGTCATTTACTGTGATATATTATTACGACCGCTGTAATAGGTCCTGGTTAGAGTTTCGAAAACCAGTAGCTGAATATACTTAGATAATCGACAGGATGAACAATGCGTAAGATGCAACAAATATACAGTATATAAATATATATATATATAAACGAAATAAGCTTCGTATGTAGTTGTTGTGCAAAGAAATGTATGTACCTCAAAACTAATGCCTGGAAATACTATTGATTGGTTTTGTTCTACATGTAAATTTTTTCCCAGCATTTTCTTAGCGGCTTGAAATTTGGATGTCTCATAAGTAATCACCTCGTCACTGACAGTAGTAGCAGGGCTAAGGTGTTAAGCATTTATGTACAGGTACATTTATTATTAGGTAAAAGTGTTACTATCTTTCGAAGTAAAGCCTAACATGATCCTATAATTTACCCATTATCTTTATTCGTATATATTACACAGTATCGCTGGAACTAATGTTTTGAATGAAGCGAAAGTAATGTGATTTTCACCTGAGGAAATCAGAAGGACGATGTACCCTGCCTTTTGAGCATCATAGGGGGCTTGCGTTCTCATGCTGCGCTCAAGAATTCTATAGTTGGCTAGATAAAAAAACGACTAGCAAAAAAGTCAGCAGACTCCTTTTTTTAATTTATGCATTTATTTTACGAGGGAAATGGAATGTTTTGCACATTAGTGGATATCGCAAGGACTGTTAAATGTTTCTCCAAGTGCGGGCCAAACTATTCGGGTAGTGCTACAGATGGTAGACAGCCTCGACCCACCAAACCTCCAGGTTTTGAAATAAGCCTATTAGCCAACCTTTCGTAACACGTGCTAATGACTTATACAGAGGTATTATTTCAATTTTGGGTCCCTTTCTGAAGCATTTAGTCAGACGAGAGTATGTTAACAGACCTGGATGGAATTCATTAGCCCGATCAAGCGGCCGGGCCGAATGACGGGATGACCGCATGGAAAGCAGCAGTCTATTAGTGCATATGCTTGTCTGTCGGTCGATGCCTTGGGAAAGAGGGGAAAGATTGCAATGGCAATGTTGTGCTTACTAGCGATCATCGTGTTATGTCGTCTTAAGTAACCTGTGTTAAGTTGGTGCGCGCATGTCGGTCTCTGTTGTTATAAACGCCAACAAAGCGAGCTGGGGACTCCCACTACGACACCACATAGGCATCCTTTATGCAATACAGTTTGTTACACATCAGTTGCCTTTGCGTTAATATCGCCGTTTATTGTCGGCGTTGTACTAAATGCATTATTTTTTGGTTTGAAATAAAAAAAAATCCTGTGTAATTGGCGAGTAGTAGCACTTACCTCAGAACATTTTGTTTTAAATAATGTGTTATGGTTGATTGTCGATAATGGTTATTATTAAAAAAGTCAGCCTGGTTTTACTGTAACTCATGATTATAGCAGGGGTAGATCGTTTTATAGGTTTGTCACACATATGACGACACGTGACGCGGGCCATAGTGGAAACAGTTAATCGTATTAAGGCCAAGCCTTGCAAACCTATTGTAAATTGCATGCCTTCCGAATCTACCGACTCTGATCTATAAAACTGTATGATCGCGGTCTATGACTAGCTATTATTATTATTATCTTTTTTTTTTCTACACCGTACGATGTTTTTACCCGGACGACTGTTACCTTTCACGGACTTCGAACGAACGCTGCAGATGTTTTTAATTTTTTTGGAACAAGTTGGTGAGGACCTTTTTTTTAAGCTTTACTTCGCTATATCACTTTTATAGTTTAGTTACCTTGTAGTATTGCCTTTAGGAGCTACACGGCATTGATTATTGTTGGTTAAGGTAGCAACTACGAGGAGCGTTACAAATCGTTCTGTAACTATTTTACCCTTGATTTAATGTTCATATGTTCGTCTTTGAGCCCTGTTTTAGTATTTTGGCTTCGCCTTGAACTGTCATCTTACTGGGGCTACACCGCAGCGTCTGGTGGGCGAATAGCACGAGAACGAGTTCAGGGGCGAAGGTGTCTATGGCGGTGATTTACCGAGCAAATCCTGTGTTCCTTTACCCTGCATATGCTTTTGCTGTTATTGATGTTGTGCATTTTTTGAGCGTTGGGCGACCATCGTGTGCTGACCATGTCTGTTGGATTGCTGCTACAGGTGGTCGATCAAACACCTCGCAAGCAACAAACAGCCATCAGATAGATAGGTGATAGATAGGCAAACAGACAAGCAGACATGCAAATAAACACCGATAGACCCGCAACAATTGCTACCCCAAGATAGAAGGTCGTACGAAATAACAGACATCAGCAGCAGCAGTAAAGCGCAAGCTTAGCATTGTATTGTTTTTTGTGTAAACGGTTGGTCTTGTTGCGCTCGATGTCCATGCTGACCACGCTGCTTTTTGTTCCTGCTACTGCTGCTGCTGCTGTTGTTGATGGTGATGTAAATTTCGATTATTTTGCTAACCATGGTTATGTTGATGACAACATGATATAGTGGTGATGAATTGTTTTACAGTAATAACGACTGTAGACGCCTGTTCAAGATATGCAAAGACGTCTAAGCGGTCCATGAACCTATCGCTATTAATACGACTATTCTTACTTTTTTAATTATTTGTATGTATCTGTGCTCTTCTGTTCAAGGACGTTTTGTAAATTAAAAAATTATTCGATTTCCTCTTTAAAAACTAGGACATACGGTGCTTGAAATCGGGATACTAAACGATTTGAGTTATGTGATCCACTTTTCCTGTTGCGATAGCCTGAACTACTACGTCTTGGCAAACTATTCTACAAAGCTTATAAAGGTTTTGAAATTGTAGCGTTATTGAAGTGATTTGATCTTTGAGCCGGTCAACTTTTGAATTCCAACCAAAACAATCGAAGAAATCATAGCTTAAAACAGGTAGCATAACGTTTACGCGTATAAAAAAAAGCAAAGACCCAATTTTTTTGCGTAGTAAAAGCTTTTTTCCAATGATGTTATTATATCTAATTTCAATTGAAAAAGCAAATCTTGAATTTTACGGGATGTTTTTACAGCGTAACGGGGGGCGGCTGTAAAGCGTTCAGTATAACAATATATCAAGACAGAAGGTTAATATGACTAGAGACAAAACATCGCTATATTTAAGTAATGCATCTCACCCATTAATCGCAAAATCGAAGCGTTTATGCGTGTATAGATGTATACATATATACTATCATATCAGTAGGTGGATATAACTGGTTTAGGTAGATCTCACCTAAAACAATTTGTTCGCTTTGTTAATCCTGCTTCGTCTATTATGGCTGAAGTAGATTGTCGGTTGTTGGAACTGATGATGAATCAACTTTGCATTAGGGAATGTAGGAGACAAAGATAAACCACTCTTCTTGCAGGACGTTCGATATCAAATCACAAAAATCACAGTGGTAAAAGGAGCAGTGCAGAAGAACAGTTTCCGGTTCTCTGTCATACATTATATTCAGTAGGTACTGCTCCTACACGTATCAATATTTTCGAATTATTATAAGTTTCTTAGTAGGAGAATTGTTTAGATATGAACATGAATAACGCTGAAGTCTCCTCCGTTGATGATCTTATTTCTTTAATCCGAATCTTCGGCTTGCGAATGTGTTGGCTTCCCCACCTAACTCCAAGAGACTTCAAGACTAGGAAACAGAAAAAAGTTGATGAAGGCCGTATCTGTTTGGATTAGGTTAACCGATTCGAATCTCAATTTGTTAATTTTACAACCCACTGATGTGTAAGATGATGCATTGTCTTGGCGGAATAACATTTCCTTTTTTACACTAACATAGACTGACGCAAACGTTTGTTAAACGCGAGCCAATTTTCGTAAGTTTTTTTTGACATGTATGCAATTATCACCAGAATATTTTCGATGAGTAACACGATGCGTACGTTGACGCTAACATATTTCAGACTATCCATATATATATATATATATATATATATATATATGTGTGTGTGTGTGTATGGATGTATAGCGAGGAGAGCAAAAAAATGAAAAAAAAAACATGAAATGCAGGACAACGAATAACAAAAATCTTTTCAGACTACCACGATGCCACGATAATTGTTACTACCCGACTTCTGATACCAAGATATGAGTTATTTGACTGTAAGTAAAAGCGCCTGTTTAGCCTGCAGAATACTACATTCAAAACGGCTTATTCGTTTCTTGCTCCAAATTTCGGTGACCGAGCGGATGAGTAGTAGTGCTAGTTGTGGCGTTACTAGACGTCATTATCACGAGCAGCAGCAGCGAAAAAAACGACGAAGTAACCGAAGCAATAGTTTCGCTATGCCGAAAGGCAAAATCGTCTTAGCTTTTGCTGGGTTTTTCATCTACCGCTAAAATAACAATAAGTACATTGTGTTCCTGTAAGGGCGTAAACAGTCAGTCTTTTCTCAAAGCGGATTAGGTCAATACGAGAAGAGCGCTGAGAGATTATGAGTTCAGTAAATGCTCTTTCAACGAAACCATAATGTCGATGTATGGTCTCACCGCTGAAAATTGAAATGTATGCGAAAGTGCTTTGGAAGACTTAACTTGAAGAATCATGTGATTATGCAATGAGTCGATTTCATGAAAATACGCTTATGTGAGGGTAGAGAAGTGTCAGCTTGTTTTCTTAATACCCATTTTAGTCAGTTAACCGTAGGTAATACGTTATTTTGAATCCATGATGGTTGTTTTCTAAAAAAATTTCTAAAAAAGATAAAGATGCTGGAAAACTACCTATTACGGCCGGAAGCTGAAGGGTATCAGTGTGCGGATAAGACTACTTTTCTAATTTGGTTCGACCCAGAAATGCTACCGGAGTCTGCGAAAATTTGGAAATAATCAGATTTTTAGTTAGGCTATTTCGTGTTTTAAGAGACATCAAGTATTTCTAGCCTATGAAGGCTATTTCAGTAGATCGGGTTTTCGCTGATAGAATACTAATTTTGTTTTCTTCTAAAAAAAGTAATAAATTTTGCTAGGTCGAATGATCTCAGTAAACACCCTATACTAATCAAACGAGAACCAAAGCTCATGGTCGAATAGGTACGCATAACAACGTCTCAATATTCTGAGCAAATCGGTTCTAAACCATACATAGTAGTAGTCTAGGAAGTATCCGAAATGGAGAATGATAAATTACTGTGACTGAGGCTTTAGAAGGGTATGTCCCCTTTTTCCAATTTGAAGCAGTATTTATTCATGCATACATTTTGTTAATGGATATCTACCAAGTCACTTTCCTTAAAAATGTTTAACTTTTAGCAATAAGATATGTTAGCACCCCATAGGTCCGAATGAAGTGTCCTCTCAATATACGGATATCTGAATTGTCTTGGTCAGGAGCAAACAACTTGGCTATACGTCCTAATGTATAAGATCAATATCAGATCTAGGCACTATTGTAATGCATATCAAATGCACACCTAGTTCTGCTGCGGCGAAGTCTTTCCTAATTCATGCCGGTTCTTAAAATGTTAATTAATTATGTACTGCGAACAAAGTATCCTAATATATCAATCCCTGATGAATCCATGAGTGATGATCATGAAACGCACTTTGAGATTTCGTTGGCCTCACCACATTTCTGATTGTAGAAAAAACATTAGCAGTTGCTTTGACTCAGAGCTGATTTAAACTAACAGAACGTCGGTTGTTTTTGATGGCTTGCAACAAATCACACACTTCGATAGATGACAGCCTTTTTATAATGTCGTTGTTCACCAACATCGAAATAACAGTTGAAATAATATATTACGCAACATTTAAGGGCGTATTGGTAGATACAATTATGCAAGAGTACACTACGCCGCTGTACTCCCAGCATTGCAACCTTGGCGAAGACCTTGATGCTTTTCATGAAGCTGACCCCAACGCGAAGCGGAAACAGCAAGAGGCTGGCTGCTTGGTGTTACGACATCGCCGAATTGCTTCAACACGGGTAGAGTAATAGTGGCACATAAGTCTGAGAGATACATAATCGTGGGCTAATAATTAATTGTTGTTGTTGAGGTCGACGGACGGCCGATGGCAGTCGTCTGTGAGAGCTCTTGCGTTCTTCTCTACCGCCTTGCTTGCTAGGAACGCCTCGGTGGATTTTGCATGTTAATAGTGCCTGCGCGTTGAGCCAAAGCTTCGCCACTTTTACTACGTCGCTGATCTGATAGCTTTTGTAAGTTATAAGGCACTGTTATCATTTTCCTCTGATATTGATAATTAATTCAGTTTAAGTAAATTTTAATATAGATAACACCAAAGCATCAATATATGTATATGTATATATATATATATATATATATATATATATACACATATATATATATATATATACACATATATATATATATATAAAGTTTGCAATGGTGTTGTACATGATCTTTCAAAAATCTAAAAGTTCTTTGAGGAAGAAAAACCAAGCCACTGATGTTACATATACAGTCGGTTGTAAAGGGCCTTTGCATTTCAATTATCAGTACGTCTACTATCCTTGTGAACAACGAGTTATAAGGGTACGTAAATAGCTTTTCTCAAGGAACAATTGGAATGATGAGCTCAAAGCCAGGCTTGTAATTTTTCTTACTGCTTGAGATTCAGTCAAGCAATAAAATCGTTTAGTAGACTACGATTCAAGCTGTAATTAAAAAAACATCTGCTTAACATGGTTTGTATATGATAGTCAATAGGCATTACGTAGATATATTCAATGCATGAAGTCACTCATGCACGGATTATCACTATAATTTGCAAGGAAAACTACTTCTTTAAAAAATATGTTGTAGCTGTAAAATAATTTTTTTGCTGATATGGTTTATTGGGGTACCTCTAAGTTCAGGAATGTATAAGAAATAATTTTTATTACCGTGTTATTAAGTTATTCCGGAAAGGTAAAAGTGACCAGACTACTCGGCCTTTGCAGCATGGTACGTGGGTAACGACATGTGGCTCTGTTATTTATGTCTTTTATGTTAACACGTGTATCTGTAGGCATGAATCACTAACCGATTAGCGTGAACAGCAGACGATTATTGCTCTCGATTGACGTTTCGGACAGAGAAGACCGTAAGTGTCAATACGACTCTAGAACGCACTGGGGAAGCGTTCAATATGAGGATTCGAATGCAATACTGACGCATCTCTTTAAACGTGGAACCCAACAAGCGTATTCATTTAATATTAGATTAAGTAAAAAGCTCCCGTTGGTTTTAACTGCTTTTTTATTGTAACTTTCGAACAAATGAACACATCTTAGTCAAAGTTTTACACCGTGCTTCCAATAATTTTCACCTTCTAGTACCTTCTTTTTTCTAGTACGCCCCGCGAAATGAAAAAGCTTCGCTTGTAGAAACGATTCATTTGTCGACCCGTTTATGCCCCTCTATTCTCAAATGCTTGCCTTCCTGGCTGTGCTCTACTTGTCCAAAGCAAGTGATAATCAGGTGGAGCGATGCCCGAGCTATACGCTGGGCAGGGCAGGGTTTTCCGTTGAAGGCTTGTTAGTGCTCATTGAATTACTAGAACAATATGCAGTGTTGTGCTACTTTGTAATATGTTGTGTCGCTGTCTGCCAATCCAAGGCCTTTTCTATCAATTCTGTGACTTAGATGGATGAGTTGATTTGTATAACGGTCTGCCGTAAGTCTTTCCTGAAGTTAAATAGCAGATGCTGCAACATTCCGTCCTCATCTTACCATATGCAGAGATGCAGGTACAGCTTTTAACCATGAATATTTCTTCATCGACTTGCAGGAATCTAACTATTCTGGTTTGCGCTTAGGAGCGTCGTAAAGATCAGTCTTTTATCGCCGATAACGATCTTGTGCAGAAGTGACTTATTTTCTCGTGCAAGCAACGAAGGACATATCGTCGAACATTTTTTTGTCCTTTTATAAAGTTGATGGGGTTTACTTTTCTTCCTTTTCAGTTTTTCCTAGTGCATGCAAACGATTGATAAGGAGTATTATGGGACATCCCTAGATGCCGAGAGTGCTCGGAACAACTTCATCGCATTTTGCACAGGGAGTGCCTGCAATATGACATTATTCGCTTCTTGTGGCCGTCCGGAGCGTGGTTTGTCGTTCAAATTGAAATCTACAGTTCTGAAGCGGCAAACGAAAACTGGAAACTGACAGTACTCGTTGTGCATTTGCTTTCAATATCGCAAACAACTTTTTGTCTCGGCAGCATCTTTCCATCATGAAAATAGCGAATAAGGCAATGTCGAGTATGCATATTAATTTAATTCTCAATTAAAAGTCAATGGCAGCTCAATTAAAACCATATGGCAAATGTCCGACAACCAAAACCAGTGTTTCGGGAGGTTTCAGCTAGATACGATGAGCTGATCCGACACTAGCGCCATATGTCGCCTCCAACGGCAACTGTTTACTTCACGTACTATGACGATGCTGGTTTTATACTCATCAGTCGTCATCAATGACTCAAGATGTGGCATCATCATCATCATCGTAATTGCTCTTCATGAGGACGAAACCAATTCGCGATTCTCATGTTAATGATTTAGTTTTAAAACGAAATAATCATGCTCTAAAGGCGAATGACGAGGCTTAATGAAGTAACGATGATAGGCCCTAACGATAGAAAACTGTATATATAAATACACATTATGCTATTTTACACTGATAGCGTCCTGTGTCGCCAATAACCCTCTCGGGCTTCTTCTCGGCGTGTCAAACATATACATATGAATTACAATAATTATATGGATTACCCGGTTACTAACGGTCTATTATAGGACACTTAGAAGGACGCTGGTGATGATAATGATGATCCATAAGAATTGAATTAGTGTGAAACGTGTCGAAACATTGTAGAATGTGGCATTATGGAAAGTATTTTAGATGCGTCAATGTATTTCTTCTTATTTTCAGTTGTCCACCACGTACGTTCCTTCCGGCACTATGTCGAATGTTCCTCGACGAACAAGCTCCGGATAACGTTCTAGAAGTGACTGCTCGGGCACTCACATATTTTCTCGAGGTACGTACGCTGATACCTCACTATCATCGGTAGCCTACATGTTGTCGATAATATAATATTCGTTATCTGATGTATATAGTTTATTACAGATACTGTTTTTAAGAGTGAAAAATGTTCCGGGAGTCTAGAAGCATGCTTTCGACACTCAATTTTCGGTATTTGTAACTTCTTAGCGTAAAGATCAAAAGCTGTGAATGATAGTATATATTGCTAGTAATTGTAATAATTTTAGCGACTAGACTGCACACGAAGTGGTGTCGTGCGGTCGAAACTCAAGTCCAAACTAAATTATCATAATGGTGACGCAGTCTTTGGAAAAAAAAATTATCTGTGTTTGTGTTATTCATCTCTGACTGCCGTACTTCAAAAAAAAAAAAAAGGAAGAGCCCAAAACAGTATAGCGTTAAATGAATGGTTGTTATTTATCTGAACCGTCGGTCGTCCGCTACCAGGTCTCATTTTAACGATTAGGTTTTATATGGTTTCCTTGTATGTCTTATTTATATTGTCTTTTGTTAATCGTGCTTGAAGGACTTTTCCTTTTTTCCCTTCTTTGGATACCTTGTGTGAAACGTACCACTAAAAGTTGAGGAGTGAACAGCGTTTTGACCTATTAGATGCAACCGTCGGCCTGTCCATCGAAATGTGGAATTTGTCCATTTTGCGTTTGGCTGTAGTGGGCATATCGTCGCCATGGTGTTGTCATGGTTAGAAACCCACGAGTGACAAGAAAAAGCAGCTAGGCCGTGATCTATACCTACCATGCCGTTCGAATGATGGTGGCGTCAACGACAGATAACGATTACGAAAGCAGTGGTCAATAACGTCCACCAGTCACCATGTACTACTGTGTATCTGCGTCTGTAAAGTCGTTTTGACATAACGACCTTACTACGTCTACAACAGCCATTAGTGTTGATGGTAATATTACTACTATTATTATTTAGTGCACCGCTTATTAAAGTCTTTTCCCTTGTTCTTACTCTCGTGTATAAACAAACATACCTTTAGCACCATTCGCCAAGGGCTCTACTCTCATCACTGCGAAGCCGATTTCCTTGAGTTATTCATGTTAGACCGTCTTTGGTTTCGCCGCTGATGTATTGGGAAATCCGTATTTCAGTTGTGTCGACGGTCGACGTGGATTTTTCGCTTCGTTTCACTCAATTACTTTCAGCAACTCGATAGTCCTCTCAGTCGAGCGTCGACGGGGCGGTTCGGCGTCTTTGTTGATGCCGATACCAACTCTAGCGACTATGTTACCAAAGCTATGTATTGGGTTTTCGTATCGAGAACCCCCACGCGTCTCTCCCGCATAAACAAAGCGGTATACTTGTGTAAAGAACAATAATATCATCATCACGATTATCTTCGTCGACGTCGTCGTCGTCGCTCTTGGCGCGCATCTTAAGGGGAGAGGGGAAGCGGGTACATCGCGTTGGAACAAAGTCTAACAACCTGGATTCTTAGTGTTACTAGAATGGTCAGATTGATTGTGACGACTAATTAATATTTTATTTATACGTATAGTAAATATAACGCCTCATTTACAGAGCAAGCAATGGTGAAGACATTTTCGTTAAATTCACTGATTATTCAGTTATATTTGATTAACTATGAACTGAACAAATATTGCAGCTGTTTACTATTTTGAAAAATTGTAATGTTTCAACATCAAAATGTTTGTAATGCTAATTTTGAAAATACCTACCGAAGTGTTGCTCGGCAGGGCTACTTAGCCAACTTGCGCATTCCTAATGGCTTTTCCGGTTAACGACGAAAGTTGCTCGGTATTCGGTAAACCTGCGTCCGACGAACATAAAATACCTAATAGACGTACTTTAGAGCTTGTCTTTGCAGCTATAAACATTCAAGTTAACAAACTAGATGTTGTTGATGTTTGCTTCAATTTTATCACAGTAACTAACGCATTTATTGAACTTTGTCGGCCGTTGGCTACGGCGCTGGACTTCGATATCCGAAACAATCATGAAGCAAACGCTGCAAATTTAGGATCGATTGCTATATGCTCTTCAGGCATTGTCCTAGTATTGATTCAACGTACCGGTAATTTATCAACTACCTAGTTGCGCCGAATTGAAGAACAATGGTATTTCATGAGATGAAGCCGTATATACTTTCTGTAGTGTAAAAAAAATCTAGATTACCCTTAAACCCGTACGAATGTTAGCAGAAGCTTTTGAAGTTGGAATTCTTTAAGATAATCGATGGTAACATTACACTCCATATGGCTGACTCTATTACGACTTATTTATCAATGAAGGAACAGGTTAACAAGAACTATCATTATTTTTACGAGAGGAAAGTTTACCACTATGCGGTCGGCGAGCGTAAGTAACGATCTTTGAAACGTGGATGAAGAACTATAGATATGAGCATAGATTTTTTGCGAAGGCTAGTAATAGCTTATTAACTGTTCCTGCACCATATCGAACGAGTACCTCAGACCTCGTTTATAAGCCCATTCTAATTATACAATGTTGCCTTAAGCATAAAAGTAATCTTTGCATTCGTGTTTGTGTATGGCAAGCCCCGTAAGTAAATTCTGCCAGCAGAGGGTAGGTACATTCGACCGGTCAAAGATTGAGTCGAAAATTAGTGCAGCGATAATAAGCGTGCCATTCTGTGCTCAAGCAAGCAACCATACAAATATCGCTTTGAGAATGAAATAATTTTGATACATGAGTCTACGTTAGAGGCTTGGTACCGCCGGGTTTAGACTTTGCCACGCAGCTGTTGAAGCTGGCTACATCGAGATGCAGTGCTTTTATTCGCATTTAGCGAAGATTCGTGCTGGAAGTACGCAAGCAATGAGAAATCGATGATGATCCATTTTACCAACGAAGCGCGTGTGAAAAGTAAAAAAAAGAAGAAAATTGCAGTGGGATTTATACAGCACACACTGAAGAAGCGTGGTGATCGTTCATACACACCGAAAGCTTTTCTGCATAAGTGACAATAACTTGCGAATTAATAAAACGGCTCTTACAATAGCAGCTTATGCCCTGCTAATGTATTCCCTTTGTTGTCTAGAGTTGAGACATTTGCAAAGGGTTCGTACGTAATGCACATCCTGCAGCGTTGTTCAAGTTGCTAAATAATACTCTATCGTTATTTTTAGAGACTAACATAATAACCTAGACTCATCTACAACAATGACTGATACTTGTATTCGGCGTCACCCCATCTTCTCAGATAGAAGAGCATTCGAATTAATGTCTATTGAGCCGAGCGGTTAGCGCTACTCTATTCGTGGTACCCAAGGTACCCAGTTAAAAGTCACCAATTTTTCGACCTGTCAACTTATGGTAGTGACGAATTTTCGCAGTGATAGATTCTATGACGAAACAAACGTTTTCTGGAAATGTGTATGCAATGTATATATATATATATAATGGAACAAAACTCGTCGTAACCGGCATGCGTTTGTCATCATTCCTAGAATTAGAAGAACGTCATTTTTCAAAAAGTACATCATGGAAGTTTTTTTTTGTAAGACTCGGGTGGTAGGTCTTTGTGAGAATAGTACTCATTGTCGCATCACTTCTGGAATCGTTGGAATTTATGAGGTTACGATTAATTTTTTCGGTGTAGTCCCTATCCTAGATCTTCCATTTTGCCTAGTGGAAATTTTTCCTAGAAAAGCTGCATGGGAACTACCTAACCTGGGCGACACTGGGCCTTTCACATTAGATTTTTCTCACTACAACAATGGGTATGTAATACGACTGTGGACCTGCGAAGTCTAATGGAATTACCATGGGAAATTATAAGAGGCCTCGAGCTTAATATTAGTGATAGAATGCATTCTCTTATTCTGTAGTAGTATAAATGTATGTATATTAAAGGTATGTTCGAATAATCATGACAAATTATTTTTTGTCATTGGTTTTTTAAGGTGTCGGCAGAATGCACTCGGCGCATAGCAGCAGTGGATGGTGCTATTAAGGCAATCTGCTCGAAGCTTGTGACCACTGACGTAAAGAAGTCCCGCACATCAAAGGATCTTTCGGAGCAATGTGTGAAGGTATTAGAACATGTCTGTTCTCGCGAAGCGGCAGCTGTGTTCGAAGCGGGAGGCCTAGGCTGTGTGCTTGAGTTCATTCGTGAGCATGGGGCATTTGTACATCGCGACACGTTGCATTCAGCTATGTCTGTCGTAAGCCGGTTATGTGCTCGCGTTGAACCAGGTGACCGTGTAAGTCTAGCAGCGTGTGTGGCCAGCCTAAGCGCTTTGTTGGAGCATGACGATGCGTTCGTTAGTGATGAAGCACTTCGTTGTTTTGCGTCTCTTGCGGATCGTTTTGCGCGGCGTGGCCTTGATCCTGCCCCTTTGGCAGACAAGGGCCTCCTAGCATTATTGTTGACCAAAATGGAGGCGGCTGCTCGACTTGCTCAACAACATCAACCGACATCTGGTAGTAGCATGGCGACGGTGATTTCGTTATTGTCCACGCTCTGTAGAGGCTCGCCAACTGTAGCCCACGACCTTTTGCGTTCCAGATTACCCGAAGCGCTGGAAGCCGCTCTACGGTGCCCTGACGACCGGAGCGTACTAGACGCTATGCGGCTGGTGGACCTTTTGTTAGTTTTAATTTTTGAAGGTCGAGGCGCTCTTCCAAAGGCTACGGGCTGTACAGCTAGTTCGGCCGCTCGGGGATCGTGTACGGAAAGGACACACCGTCAACTAATTGACTGCATCCGATCTAAAGACACTGATGCTTTGATTGACGCGATCGAAAACGGTTCCGTTGACGTGAACTTTATGGACGATGTCGGTCAGACCCTACTCAATTGGGCATCTGCATTCGGCACTCAGGAAATGGTCGAGTTTTTATGTGAGAGAGGAGGAGATGTAAACAAAGGTCAGCGATCATCATCTCTTCATTATGCGGCTTGCTTTGGCCGGCCCGAAATAGCCAAGGTGCTTCTACGACATGGCGCAAATCCAGATCTCCGGGACGAAGACGGCAAGACTCCATTAGACAAAGCTCACGAACGAAATGATCAGGGCCATCGTGAAGTTTCAGCAATTTTGCAATCGCCAGGTGAACTGATGTGTAGTTCAAGTCTGGCTGTCAATTCAGCTCTCGATAATCTAAGTGAGCAGGACGTTCCGCAGGAGCCGCAAGGTGATCTTGCGGTTGCACCTGTATTTCTACGTAGCCTTATTCCAGTGCTATGTCAAATCGAACAGCATTCGCTCGTACGCTCCGTACAACGGTCTGCACTTAATCTACTACGTAAGATGTTACACTATATTGACCCAGCCTTGTTCACGGATATGTCATCAGCCGAATTAGCACTTATGTTGGCAAACGTTATTTCGCAAGTGATCGATGCTGAACAGGATCAGGACCAAGACACGCTCATCATAGCTTTGCAGATGGTTCGGGACGTTTTGAGCAAAGCACGACCCATTTACATGGATTATTTTTCTCGTCTTGGCGTTCTGTCCAAAATTGAGGCTCTCGCCCAAAGCGGACAACAACCCACACAGGGCACTCAATTAGACCTGCAAAGCGGCGATGGTGGAAATGAAAGTGGTTCTTCGCAGAGCACAGATACAAGCTCAAGCTCCGGAGATGCTTCCGAAATCATTGCTGGAAGAGCATACCATTGGAAGGACTGGAATATTGTTCGGGGAAGAGATTGTCTCTACCTTTGGAATGAGTCAGCTGCGTTGGAGCTCTCGAACGGATCCAATGGCTGGTTTCGTTTCATTCTCGACAACAAATTACAGACCATGTATTCAAGCGGATCACCAGAGGGAGGTGCGGATTCTTCAGAAAACCGTGGAGAGTTTGTCGAAAAGCTGCAACGAGCTCGCAGTCAATGCAAGGTGGGTAGCAAGTAGTTTTGTTAAGGTAAGATCTATTAGATCAGCAGTTAGTGTTTCCAAAAAGTTTCTAAGGAAGAAAACGAAGCTAAAATATAGCAGGAGTTTTTACTTTCTTACGCTGTTCGTATCCTTTATACAGTAAATACCTTCAGATTTAACTGAGTACATTATATTTCATACTGAGTAGTATTTTATAATGAATAAAAAAAATAATGATATTTAATGATTAATAGCTTTTGTTATTTTCCTAAATCCAGCTCAACGTGCCATCGCAAAGCGTATTAACGTCGCCAAAAAGTGCTGCTACAGGAACCGGAGGCGTAGGTTCCAAGACAAAGTTAGTAGTTGGCAATTGGTCTCTATCGGCGCGCGCTCCAAACGAACTCGTCATACATAATTCCGATGGTCAACAGCAAGCGACGGTTCTGCGCGAAGAGCTAGCCGGCTTCATTTTCGAGTCAAATCGCGGAACGAAGCATACGTTTACTGCTGAAACCATGCTTGGTTAGTAATGGACAACTTTAACGATACAGCTTTTGTGAATATTTTACGTCTTCTCATGAGTGTATAGCAAACAGAGAATCAGATATAATTGGATGGTTAGTGAACCTGCTTGGATATATACAGTGTTAGAGGTAGGAAGTATTGCCGATATATCGGTTATTGGGCAACAAAAAGCTTTCGACATACCGCAACTCTGCAGTAGTAGGTTGCAGGATTAAGCCAGTTGGGGTTATAAATCAGTATGTGCTTATCTAGGCAGTATTAATTAAATATTTTATTTCCAGGGTCTGAACTAAGTTGTTGCTCCTCCCGTGTTGGGGGAAAATCGAAGCGTCTTCAAACAAAGCTTGAAGCAGTTCGGCAAAAAGTTTTATCCCTCTCTAGAGAAATTTGCGACCGTTTCCATGCTACCGGCGCCGAGAGTAAGCCACGTCCTGTCGTTATGGAGCTTAAAGCGTTAGTGGAGCAAATGACCTTTGCGACAGAAGAAGAACCGGTTAGTTCGACACTGTAACATATTTTTACTTGAAAGGCTTTATACCCGTCACTTTTTCTAAATTTCGACCCTACTAATCTCTAATTTTATGATGAAATACACATGTCAGATTGGTTCTACGGAAACCTAAATTAACTGTTTTATAGAAGGATGCTGGACAGTATAAATTGGCTTAAAAACTATTAAATATTTATTCGTTAAATAAGTCGTTCGTTTTGTGTACCCAAAAGGTACCGGAAGCAGTAGAGGCATCGTTGCACTCACTAGACGCGCTCCTTTTGCGAGAGCGTGCTATTCCAACATCCCAGCAGATGTCGTCGTTCGAATTGCATTCATCTGGCTTGGTAGCAGCGCTTCTGCGGGTCTGTCGTAGTGAACTTCTCGCCCCTCTGATCACTCGCTCACTTACAAATGACGCGTGTGAATTGCTTGCGATCAAACTGGTCGGCGTGCTTGAGTCGATCGAAAAGTTGGCGGTCTTTCATTATGACACGCCTTCTCACGGACTGCAGGTTAGTTTATTCAATACTGAGGGCTGAGATTCGTTTATCGGGTCCTGTATTCCGACTATTAGCCAGCGAGATTAAACCCTTTAGCCAGCTATGAACATCTAAAACAAATTCTATTTTGTCTTTATTTACTCAAACAGCGACTTACATGGTCCTCTAAATCTAGTATAAATCAGTGTGAATCTAGTTCTAAACTTAGTATGAACTTAGTAGTCTAATTTAAATAGGTTGAAGTTACATACGGCTCTGGTTGGAAAATTTGATGATAGAAGAAATCCTAATTTGACCTGCAGGTATTAAGTCGACGTTTTCGGATGCGTCTGAGCAAGGATCCGTCGGAAACAGCCTTAATTGATCGGTCAGGGCGCCCTATAAAAATGGAGCCGCTCACGACAGTAGGTCAACTCAGTAAATACCTCACACGAATGGTTGCCAAACAGTGGTATGATTATGAGCGATCCAGCTTCCATTTTGTCAAGCAGTTGACCGTTATAAAAAACAATCCGATTATACTTGAGTATTCTGGAGTAGACTTTGACACTCAAGGTCTCTTCTACTGGATGGGCACTAACGGAGGCCTGCCTGGAATTGACTGGGTCAATCCAGCTCAAGTTAACCTGGTCGTTGTGTCCTGTTCCGAGGGTCGCAATCTACCTTATGGACACCTTGAAGATATCCTCAGCCGTGACACATCGGCGCTCAACTGCCATACGAACGATGATCGCAAAGCTTGGTTTTCGATCGATCTTGGTGTGTGGCTTGTTCCCACACACTATACGCTGCGACACGCTAGAGGGTATGGACGGTCTGCGTTGCGCAACTGGCAACTGCAAGGATCTCGTGATGGAGTCACTTGGACAACACTCTATACTCATCAAGATGACTGTTCACTCAATGAACCGGGCTCTACGGCCACTTGGAAGATACCAGAGCTAAGCCAGAATCTTGACGCAGGACAACCCCGTGGGTGGAGACATTTGCGTATTCAGCAAGCCGGTAAAAACGCATCTGGACAGACCCATTACTTATCGCTATCAGGCATGGAGGTGTATGGCAAACTGTGGGGAGTTTGTGATGATCTGGGTAGAGCGGCTCGAGAGCATGATCAGGAAATGCGTCGTCAAAGAAGAGCAGTTAGACAGCAACTTAAAGGTGAGGAAGCTGCTGAAGCCTATTATTGTAACGGTTATTGAATTTTGCGCAAACAGGTTATCACTCCTTTTCATGTTACAACAAGATCAACGTTAATGTGCACTGGTAGTTAATGCGCTGAGCATCTTTTCCTTATCCCGAATGTTATTGGTCACCTTTTCAGCAATGGTACCCGGTGCACGTGTAATGCGTGGTCCTGATTGGAAATGGCGTGATCAGGATGGATGCCCGCCAGGAGTCGGCACCGTAACAGGCGATGTGCACAATGGTTGGATTGATGTAGGTTGGGATCATGGCGGATCCAACTCGTACCGGATGGGCGCCGAAGGCAAATATGACCTAAAGCTGGCAGGAAGCGGAGGGGCACCAGGAGCTCAAGGAACAGAAGGCTGTCCCGCTGTTTCGTCTGCAGCTGTGGCTATGGCTGCGATTCGCGCAAAAGTTCGGGGCGTTACGGTCGATTCATTGAAGGGAAGGCGGTCGAAAACTGTGAGCAGTGGGTCGCAGGTGGCACAAACTTCATCTGTAAGCGTTTCACCTGGCGCTTCCGCGTCCATGTCTGTCTCGGTACCAAATCTATCCACCCAACATCCTAATAAGCCGCTTAGCGCCAATAACGCCGGAAACACTATAGGAAACACAGGGCTTGCCTGTTCTACTGAATCACAAAGTAAGTGGAAAAACAAATTTTGGTGCGCAGATATTGTAACAAGCGTCATTTTATTCGCAGAGGGAAATTAGTGACTTTAGAAGAAGAGACGTTAATTTTCTTTAGTTAGTGCTAGCTGTGTTGTCGAATCGTTGTTTAGGTTCAGTTTTATCAGCTGCGTCGTGCTCAGCAAGTGGAATGGGTGTGGGTGTAGGCAGTGGAAATGGAGGTGCAAGTAGTGGTCAAAGAGAACCTCGTCTCCGTCTCAAGAGTGCTACGGCAGACGGAAGCCGAATTTCTCTGGCGGCCGGTGGTGGGGGTGGAGGTCACGTATCTTCGCTCGTAAGACTCGCTCTTTCATCATCCAACTTCCCCGAAGTGCTTGCTGACCTTCTCGGCAGTATGCCTCTCGTAAACGAGGTTAGTTCGAATAACTTCAATTGTTTTATCATCTATCCAACCAACCCAAGGTTATAACTGTATTTGCTCGAGTGATAGTCAAATAAATAGGTTAAGTTTTATTTTTCCCCACTTTTAGAGATTCCGGTCAACGAACCTGTAGGCAAATTAAATTAGGTTTAGCGGGTCTAGGTAATGACGATCAAATGTCGGTAAAGCGAGAGGGCCTGTATTGAATCTTCGGATTCCTGAGGGACTTGGAAAATGAATTTACTATTATTATTCAAATTCTTACTGCTTTACTTTTTTTTTTCTTACTGTTAATAGAGCAATGATACCTCAGCCGCGTCAGGCCTTTTGTCAACTGCGCAGTCATACCCTTCGTTGACAAATGAGGCGATAACGTCTGCAGCAGCGGCTATGTCTCAATCAGAGCTGTCATCCGACTCCGATCAGGACTTAGTTGATATGGCTACGGCAGGGTCAGGAGGTATTTCAGGAGGCCTTGCCAGTCACGTAGTGGCTACTCAAGGCAGTGTTACAGGGGTTAGTGGGGTCGGTGGTGGCGTCTCAGGCGTCCGCGCTCTCGAGGTTATGATCGATGCGGACGACGACAAACAGAGCGACCTTGACAATGATGACGATTATGAGGACGTCATGGTACGTGTACGTAAATATTCCTAAACAAATGCGCCACATATTGGAAGGACTCACAAAAAGGAATGCATATAGATACCAAATTGGAATACATTCCCTATCAGAGGAATATCTACATTTTACGCTTCGTGTCAATAAGCTGTGGGCCACATGAGCTGTAATAATAAGCAATATAATTAAAAGTAAACGCTATTTTTGCCGCTTGCTTACAGCTTCTTCAGGAAGAGGATGTGTTTGAAATGCGCAATTCACAACACTCGGTGGGTGGGCTTTCGAAACGCGATGCGTGGGATGATGAATTTATTTTAAAGAGGCACTTCTCGGCTTTAATCCCTGCTTTTGATCCGCGACCTGGTCGTACAAATGTCAACCAAACGTCCGACATCGATATTCCACCGCCTCCCGATGACAGCAGCTTTTCGATAGCAACAACTACAACAACAACTACAACAACAACAACAACAACAACAACAGCCCATAATCAAACGACGCCCGCGCCGCGATCTTCGACGGACTCCTCAGTATCTCCAGTAGGATGTACAGAGGGTGATGTTGGCGGGAGTCCTGTAACCGAAATTCATCAACCTCCTAAGATACTTCTTACCCTTAAAGGGCCTAGCCTACCAGGTTTGTGTTTATGATTTTGGCAATTTCTCCACGCAGAGCTTTTCTGCTGGGCTTATATTATAGGTCCAACATATGTTACTTTAACATGAATGTAACCAACAATAATCTCATATTGCGTGCATTTCTCATAATGGTGCGACAGTTCGCGACGCTTTTTTTTGGCACTTATATTATTTACAATCTGCCGCTGACACGGGCATCATTAAAACAGGCAAGTTGAAGTAAACCAAGAAAATTCGGATGCTTTGCGAATATTAGTTCTTTGTTGGAACTACAACGGGGTCAGCTCACCGTATACTCTACCTGTATAAGTACCGTGAGCCGTTGATTTACAAATTCCGGGAAGCAACTTCTGAATTCCGAAGCAAGTTTCGTGGAAGACCAGCGAAGGGTTACGCAGACGGTTACATCAATGGAGAAATGCAACTAACCCAGCGGCGTGCAAATGTGCAGTTGCATAAGCTTATTGTGTCGGTTTGACGCTCTGCTACAGATGTTATTTACTACAGGTTCACGAGCCATGGTTGGTCGATTACGGCCGAAGGGTGCTATCAATAATTTGAGCAGCTAATGAAGCCCTGTATTAAACAGTCAAGATTAGACGTCAGAGGTAAACTATTTCTGTTGTAAGACAACGTTCGACTTCGTACTAGAAGAATCATGGTGGCAGATATGAAGAAGTTACAAGTAGAAGATCTCCGTCATCCATCATACACTGGCGATACATCACAGGTTACAATTTTTTTGAAGTCCGGGCAACCATTTAAGAAGATTATTCAAGTCTCAATATGTGTAATTTGCCTTAAGCGACTTCATAGCAGAAGGCTATAGGGCCGGAAGAAAAAGTTAGTGTTTAGTATGTCACGTCCGATACTAAGCGACCAGATATATATATACATATATATCTATTATACTGTACTAATTTTATATACAAGTCTTTAAAAATGGTTAAAAAATGTGGTGTTTTTTAGGTGTTCCTGATCTGTGTGTAGAGCTAACGGATCCATCGTGGACGATGTTTCGTGCCGTGCAACAGCTTATGCAAAAGTCTGACCTTCCCTCTGCAAACGACAAATTAAAACGCATCTGGGAGCCCACCTATACGTAAGAATATTGGTTTGTTGTGTAACTGAACCTCTCTAAGGTGACTGGTACTTATATAACGGGAGCAAAACTAAGAACTGCATGAAAAACTTGCAACTTTAAAATCTAAGTTATATATCTGAGAGAAGTTTCAAGGTTGAGAAAAGAAGCAGGGAGCACCAACCCAAAAAGCTTCAGACAGGTACAAGTTCCGTCTTGAGAAAAGGTTGTCCGTCAAAGCACTCATGAACATGGGCTATGTCTTAGCCGTAAAGCCTTTTGCTTTTTAAACTCTGCTAAAACTGGGTAAAGATAGCAGATGTCAGTTTTGGGAAGCCGCAACAGGATAGAGAACTATATGGCGTAACATACGGCACAGCACCATTGAGCGCAGTTGGGATTACTACGGCATCATTTGAAGCTGAAATCTGCGTTCTTCTTTTCATGAGTAACCTATCCAGAAGGAACCATCGTACAGTCGACGTCATAAACGCCAATAACGTATTGTACAATTTGGTTAATTACACCTGAGATAACTGGCTCATAGACTGTCGTAGTTAAGAGTAGGCTTAACGCGTGTAGAACCTGGATGCCGATCCTTTTTGGGGTGTTTAACACTGAGAGTGACGTTAAGCTGCTAAAAATTCTCAAACCAGACCGCCTGTTTTTGCTTGTTAGAGAAAGTTTTGCAGCAATGACCAAGGGTAGAGCGGAATGCGGGCCCCAGAAAGACACGCCACGTGCCTGACAAGTTCGAAATACAGATGAAGGTTTTAATCAGCGCTCCAGATAAGTCACTGAAAAAGAATCATGATAACAGACAGGTTCAAATGGTTGCGGATGGACACTAGTCATGGATTCCTCAAGCCTCTATGAGCGAAGCAAAGGTAGCGCAGGCATATAACTAATACGTTCACTGTAAAACACCGCCATCTCCATGAAGAAATGCAGTTATAACTTGACTGCACGATATAACTTGTTGCCTTTAAGGGGCTGCGCCGGCCCTAATCAAAAACTAGAGAAACAACGACATTGTAACTTTCGGTGACTTTAAACTTGCCATAGAGGCATTATCCTGCTGTCGATTCGTAGTACTGTTTACCGAAGATTCGGATCACGCGAGAATAAAGCTTAAAAGAAAGGTTTAGTGGGTGTAAAGCCCACCTTATCAGTTCTGTTTGGTCCGGATAATTCGAAATCAAGTCAAATACTTCCAGACACACGGACAAGAAGAATCAGCGTCTATTTTCTAGGGCGCCGTGTTTTGCAGACACAAGAAAAGCAACTGAGGGCATTTACCCTGTACGATGTGCCAAGAGCTCAGTGGCTACACATAGACACCTTTATGATGGAGTATGTGATGAATGATAATGCGATCGTGTTCTCGAAAGGTAAATCGAGACGTGACTAACAAAGCCAAGATGATTGAACCTAGCAGATTTGCGTGGAAAATCGTCTCAGTCTATCACTGATGTTTTTACCTGCGCAGTCTATGCCATGCTATGCATTGCGGTCGAGTTAAATAACACGATATACAGTGTAATAATATAACACAAAAATTATATGATTATAATATAATCATCTAACAGTGGATAGACCGGTGATGCTGAACACCTCTAAACATTAAAAAATTCCGAGATGAGATCTATACATTGACAATTCTCTAGTTAAAAAATTAATCTGTGTAATATAATGTATATCAGTAATTAAATAGGATACTTCATGACATGTATTTAGTAAATATTTTTAATAAAATTGCCCTATTAGGCAAGTATATAGGGACCTCTAATGAAGTTAATCAACTGATACGCCCACCGGTACGTTGCGGATTTTTCCGTTCTAGTACAAGTCAGGTGCGAATCCTGTTTCTATCGTCATGTTTTCTCATTAATCGTCAAGTGATAATTGGATGTGCCATTTTTGCAACAAGATCTTGATGGTAAACGAAGCAAAATTGACTCATGTGTACTTTCTACATTTGATTGCAGTATCGTGTATCGCAGTGCAGGCGACCGTAGCAGTGGTAACACGATTGCCGGTAACGAGACTGCTGAGGAAACTGGACCAGCAATTGGGGCAGCTCCATTGGCAATTTACGCGAACGGAGCTCGGTGCTCTTCGTTGATGAGTGATGTTATCATGTCGGGCGCCCAGAGGGCGGCAGACTCAATGATATCGCCCACAATTTCGTCGTCTGCCTCTACAAACGGAGGGCCGCTCGGAACCGGAGGAGGAGGAGGAGGAGGAGGAGGAGGAGGAGGAGGAGGAAGGGGAGGACGAAGGCGAAGTAGCAGCAGTGTCGTTGTTATGGCTAGTGCTGCCGGCGGCTGTGACCTGGAGCCTCTCGTGGGCCAAGTTGTTCAGCTGCTCAAGTCGCTAGCTCGACACTATAACCTCACTGGTGGGTGTCACTTCAGATAGCAAACGACATAGCGAATATGAGAATGTCAATAATTCTTCTTTCCCTGTTTGCAATCATATTACCGAAGGCACCACTCTTGTCTTGCATGACAAACAAACAAACAGCGGTAAACATCTGCTTTGGCTAATATCTCAGATGTTTACCGCCTTTGTCTTTTTTAGAGACACCTGTGCACTAACACTAAATGGCTTTTTTGCCGCCTTTTTTTGTTCAGGTGAAATGTGCGTATCTGCGAAACTATCGCATAAGTTGCTGCAGCAAATGCAGTGCCCACTGGTGATGAGTGCAGGAGCTGCGCCCTCTTGGTGTGAGGCCCTTGTCTATAAATGTCCTATGCTGTTCCCTTTCGAAACGCGTCATACATTCTTCCGATCCACTGCATTTGGTACTAGCAGGTAATAGGCAATGATAAAGTATTTTATTATTAAATGAATACCTAAAAAGCGAAAGTCCAGGGTAATATCTTAACACTCTGATCTGTCTGCTTCTTTTCTTTGTTTTTATGAATAAACGTTACCCCTAGTGGTATTAGGGTAAATATTTTTCTTTACAAATGGGACCTGAAATAGGCAAAAACAACTATGCGTTAACAGAGGACAGTAACAAATAGTTATAGATAAATATTTGCTATTGTCATCTGATTATGCTAATTATCCTTTTCTGAAATGTTTACAGTTTTACGGAAATACAGAAGCTATTTACAGTTAAGCAAAACCAGAGTTTTAAGGTTGGCAGCCTTCTTTTGTAGACAATAACTTATAGGTTACAGCTAAGATCTAATTATTAATAAAATGTAGTATTATACGGCATCAATTAAAGTTTTCTGCAGGAAACATGGAGATTAAACAGTAACATTCATATTACCAAATGGCAGGGCAATCGTCTGGATTCAGAGTCAACGCGAGCAAAGATCGACATTAGTTGGCGGCCTCGGGGGACTAGCAGGTCTTGCTGGTGCAAGGCGGGTAGCGGGTGAAGCAGACGACTTCATGGTTGGTCGACTGAAGCATGAACGAGTTCGGGTGGCGCGGGGCGAGAGGCTGCTTGACTGGGCCATTCAGGTGATGAACTTCCATGCCGAACGTAAGGCATTACTTGAAGTCGAATTCCTTGGTGAAGAGGGCACTGGTTTAGGTCCATCGCTTGAATTCTATTCGTTAGTTGCTGCTGAACTTCAGGCCGCACGTTTAGCCATTTGGTGGGCTGATGAAGATCCTCCAGACGAGGGCTGCGACGATGAAGGAGCAACGCGTCGTTATGTGCGACCCTTGTCAGGACTGTTTCCAGCGCCGCTTGCTCAGGATTCTGTTGCCTGCGATCGCGCTTGTCGCCTTTTTGAATTTATTGGCATCTACTTGGCTAAGACCCTACAAGATAATCGGCTCGTTGATCTACCACTGTCAGCTTCTCTACTTCGCCTACTGACATGTGGAGCGCGGGTCCGAAATTCCGCCGGACAACGTATACTCACTTTAAATCGAGATCTAGCTGAATTGAACCCGTTCCTTTACAGTACCATCTGTCAACTGTCGGTAGTTGCCGACGCTAAGCGGCGTATCGTCACTGACCAGCATCTTTCCAAAACTGAACAGCGGCACCGCCTGGAAAAGATTACACTTCAGGGGGCTCAAGTGCAAGGTGCGCGCGTCGAAGATCTCGGATTAACGTTTCAGTTCCTACCCCCATCAAGAGCATTCGAGGCGGTAGAGCTGCGACCAAACGGCTCCCAAATAGATGTCACGATGGAAAATATAGAGTATTACGTAGCTGCACTCGAGGAGTTTGTGCTGGCTAAGGGTGTACAAAGGCAAATGGAAGCTCTGAGACGAGGCTTCAACCGTGTGTTCCCAATCTACAAACTTTCAGGTAGGACCTGATTAACGGATTCCTAGCAATACCAATCTACTTTATTACAAGTATAGTAGGTCAAGTTTGTCACGTTTAGTATTATATTACTGCATGGTAATAATTTCAGCTTGTTTTGTCTTTGACTAATATGGCCGAACTAAAACCGTTGTAGAAAGATGCATTTGTCGGAAAAACAAAGCAAATAAGAGTCAGCCTTATAATACCACGAATTATCATTCTGTTATCTGGTTCGAACAGCCTTTAGTAGTAACGAACTGCGACTGCTGCTTTGCGGAGAGCAATGTCCACAATGGTCACGGGAAGATCTGGTGCAGCATACCCTACCAAAACTTGGCTTCTCCAAAACGTCACCTGGTTTCCTAAAACTTGTAAGTGCATCGCCTCTATCCAAGTGGAAAGTATAATACTATTTGAATATTGAAGTCATTGTTTAATCACAATAAACCAATTTCGAAGGTCAATTTCGTTCGTAAAAATCTGTAACGAACTGACGCTTAGACTTACGTGTTAGTAAACGTGGACTTTCTAGAGCTGTCATGAAGCTTAGAACGAAGCTCAGATGAAAAAAAACACGGATATTAACAGCTTAGACGTAAGCTGTCAAGCAGTTTAATATAAAGTAAAACATGTATATCGTTTGCTTTTATTGATACACACACAGGTGAACGTACTGGTGGAGCTTAGTGCACAGGAACGCAAGGATTTTCTGCAATTCGTCACAGGCTGCTCATCGCTTCCACCAGGTGGCTTAGCCAACCTCCAGCCACGGCTAACCATCGTCAAAAAAGTCGATGCCGGTGATGGCTCGTATCCCTCCGTTAATACATGCGCTCACTACCTCAAGCTGCCAGACTATTCGTCGGAAGACATTCTCAAGGAGAGGCTTCTAGCGGCCACGCAGGAAAAGGGATTTCATCTTAACTGAGCGAAATTTTCACTGCGAAAGAGCACTGCTTTCCGTGATACTGTTTACCTGGCGTTTCTTACTTTACGACACGAGCAGACCGAATAAAGTAAAAAAAAGTACACCGTTGATGATACAAGATGTATAGAAGGGATCTTTCAAAACAGACCATTCGAAAGCGCGAAGTGAGTCGAAGGAAACTGTAAATCAATCTAGACCGGGTAAAATATGTTGGAAAGCCAATGGTCGATTGTTACCATTTTCAGAGGGTTGACAGTATATGAAATCATTGAAAACATCACATGAATGAGAACGGATGATAATGTCGGTTGTTAATTAATTGGTGAACGTTGCGTGTGGATCGTCGACTGCGTTTTTCAGAACATGTTAAACGCATACACCCGATAGATTTTTATAGTAGCATTAAACGATCATTTAGTTACACTGTATTCGATGCACACGGAGGGAGTCAAGTGTGGGCAAGGGTGGACACGCTGTTGTAGTGTCTCTATTAAGACCAGAGACAGAATATTTGGTGTTGCCAAGGTGGATGATGTCTGACCCCCCGCTTCGCGTACGACAGCAGATGGTGGCGTCATAAATAATGGCTAGTGGTCGAACAGTATAACTTAGTTCATTGGAGATGAGACAACTACTGCTCCTAGCAGTAAATAAATACCACATGTTGATAATGAGGAGAAAAAGAATAGAACGACAAAAGGTCAAGGTTAGAGTGAGGTTGAGTATAATGATTGTGTAGAAGTATGATAACGGGTGTACATAAATAGTACTCTGTTATGGTACAGTACGATACTGTGGTTGGGGTAAGAGGCAAAAGAGGATGTGCGGTAATGTATTTGTGGTGAAAGTTTGCGGTGGTAATGATAGGTGATGCCGACGTCAATGGCAAGCTGAGCTGGTGAGCTTTTTGTGATCACAGTGATGATATATTACTGCAATTGCTAATTACTACAATAATAAAGTAAATAAAGAAATGACTGAGGAAAAGAGTAGAATGACTGGTGTTACATAACTAAGTCTCTACATGTAATAAGAAACGAACACCGTTTTGTAGTAGGGGCAGTAGGGGGCGTTGAAAGGAGTGGAAGAAGCTGGAAGAGGCGCCAGGGGTCATGGTAGATATATACGTGGCAAAGGGCAGATGATGGAAGTCAATTAGGAGAACTTGAGATAAACAAACTTGTGTTCGACGTCAGTAGTAAATTTGTTTAGTCTAGGCAGCACCAGCGCACATACTGCAGCGCAAGTCACTCTACTGCACTGCACATTGTGCTATTATGATGTGCTGCTACCACCTAGTAAAATACGTCGGTCAACATAAACAAAACCAACTGAAATACATGCTATTATATTATTAAATAAATAAGTGAATAAAAATAGACTATTTACTGACTGTATCAACACAGAAAAGACCTAGATCTGACTGTATATCATTACCTTAGAATGATTCTATACAAATATATAAAGCAAACAAATAAAATCTAAGGCATGTTTAAAAAGTGCGTGTTAACTTCTGACTTTTTTTTTTATACAAGCTTAATCTTTTGAACGTGAAGCACCAGAGGTGTCTAAGAAACGAGAATGAAGGGGCTGGTTGTTCATCGGCTGCTTCGTCTACGGCATACCTCAGCTATTCATATGGCTTCAGGATTGTCTCTGGGCAGGAGGCCCAATTTGGAGGGAAAACAGGATCGGAGCTGCTGCATAGCCTTGATCCCTTTGAACATCATAAGGCATCATATATGCACATAGCATAGAAGCCTTTAATTAATTTTCTTTTGCCTCGTACCTAACAGATAATAGATAACAGTTTAATAGATAATTAAACAATTCAAACTGATAAGGGGATAACACTTTACAAGACAGTACAACGTGTTTCGAATATGATAAGGTACGGCACCGAAGTGGCGACACTTCCTGTATCTACATACATGCGAAATACTAAAGTATTTAAAGACGTTAGGTCAAAAACAAGGTTATTTTACCTAAATGTGTCAACATTGTCTCAAATATGACATACATCAGAGCTTTCATTCATCAAGTGAAGATATTTACCACTAGCGGAACTTTGGCTTTCGTACAATGTCTCAAAGAGTTCGAAAAAATTCGATAATATCCAGTCAAACAAACAAGATGGATTGTGAATTTTGTCATGACTGGTGTTAATACTCATCACGAATTACCTCAGTATGGAATAAGTGTAATATAGCTTCTGCTTATTAATGGAGGCCTATAAATATGGGCGCCCAAGGGCTACGGAAGCCAGCAGAATGCTGAAAGAAGCCATGTCTGTAGAGTATTCTAATAAACGTTTTTATCGATAAATATTCCATAATCTTACCAGAATTAGGGGAGTTTCACTTGTTCGATACGTCCACGTGACGATCTCATATTCGATGCTCACGTTCAAAAGACGACCTTCAACCCACAGCGGTGGTTGAAATCAAATAAAAATACAGGGATAGTTATTTGTTTGGCCTATTATTTCCGAATATACAGACGCGTCAAAGATTCACAGAACAAGACGTCAGCCTTGAAACTAATTAACTTCATGTACTCAGACGTTGCTCACTGTACCTATTTGCATACGAGATTCAGGATAATTCGACTATTAAGGGATTTAACCATTCATGCACATGCTTGAAATTTATACTGGTCGAATAAACAAAATATCTTCCTCTACACGCATACGCCGACACTATTTTAATAAAAAAAACATAGTTTTTACTCATGCTAGCATTTTTCCATGTGATATCTGGCAGATCACTTAAAGCTGTACAAGGGACTTAGGTAACGAAAGGTAATTTAGAAAGGCTATAGGATAAGCACCCTATAGCCCCGCTGAGAGCCCTAGCAATCCTTCAAAGTACTGCCATGTATTTTGCATATGCCCTTGAGTGGTGCGAACACCATGCGAAATAGTTTGAGAGTTATATGACAGAATAATTCCATCCTTTTACGAGTGTTAATACGTTTTTTGTTCTATTATTGTTTATCTTTTATTTTGTGACAACAAAGCAGATATCTATATGCCTTGAAAAGTATAACCTATTAAACGCAGATCTTTTTCTTTTTCAAAATTTAGTCGTTTCGAAACGGGCCTAGGATCGTTCAGCTGTCAATGAATCACAGCTCTATCGCTCTCATAGATTTGCAAGTCACTGGGTGACTAAGAAAAAAACAATCATAGATCATAAAGAGAGCATTTCGACCATTGAAGTTTTCATAGTGTTTTAGAAAACGAACTTACCATGTGGTAAAGTACTCGTGAAAAAGCCCAGTATCTACTTGCCACGATGCTACCGCTTCGATGAGACGTCTCATTTCTAGCAGCTTGCCACTGTGGCTTATATGGATCGCTCAGACATTTATAGCTAGTATAAGCTTCCTCAGAAAATTTAGTTACAGACGAAGGTCGACGCCTATATATTCTCGTCTAACAATGTTTCTCAAAGAAACGGGACGTCAAACTTTTTCAGCTCAACCTACGTTTTCAAATCATCAGTAACCTCATTTCTTGAGAATTGATCGGGCGTTCAGTAGACAGCAGTTGAGTTTTTTTACTCTCCATAGCTTACTCTTTCTTTTGAGAATGCTGGTCCAGCTTATCCGGTAATACAGTTATATGTTTGACGCGAACAATTACAGAAAAACCTCTCATTTGTTTTATGGGCTTAATTCACTCAAAAATTAAATTAAACGTGCCTAATAGAGAGTACTTTAAGGTAAACAGGAGTTGAGTAGGTAGTAAACTCGAATCGGTAACGCGCACAAATTTGATTTTTCTCGAACTAAAAAAAAAACAGATTGAAAAGGTTCTGTAAAGAACCGGACATTTCAAGATCATAATATTATATAGACCGCATACTCACAGAGAAGGCACAGTCATAGCTACCATTCCACCCTTTGCTTGCCTTCCTGCAGGAGGTCGGTTATTGATATTAATCTTGCAACATTAGATCTCTCTAATGTTTCTCTAATTAGACTCAAAATTTAAATATACCGGGAATGCATTTTATAATTACCTCTTCAAGCGTCTTCGGAAGTCAAAAACCTGCTAAACTAGCACAAGACGTTTGTACTGCAGATGGTATAGATTTGATGCCCGTGAAGGCTGTTTAAAGGTTGTTACGAAGGTTAATGTGCCATTTTGGAACTACCATCCGGGGTCGATGGTGACCGATGAAAGGCACTTCTCAAGAAAGGCGGTCGGCGAATTGCTTGTGAATTGCCTAAAAAGATGGCTTGGTGTTATATGATTTTTGGTAGACATCATGATTTTTTCAGGGATTTAGGTTTTAGGCTGAAGATTAGGGGGCTGGATAACTTATAAACTGAGTGAAAAGCATAAGGAAACACGGCCACTTATCGTCTTTTAATACCTCGCTCAATACCGGACAACACGCACTCACAATGACAAGTTTCTACACGAAATTATTATAAGTGATTTTTTCTTTAGTTTTTAGGTTTAAATGGAACAGATAAAAAAACTCCGAGAAAAATACCAGTTACGATGAGTAAAGCAAATTTCCATTTTGATAAGACCATGATTTGCGTTTGAAGGCATTGGAAGGAAGTCCACTAAAGTTCGCTGAAAAATGTTTAAGGAAAACAAGTAAAAAAAATTAAGTGTACGATTCTGTCCTGCAAAAAGACCTTGTAGATGGGGGAAAGTCATCATTCTCCATGACAGTGTTAGGCCACAAGTGGACAACGTCATTAAAGCCGTTTTTTTTTTGTATCCATCATACCTTCCGGCAAGTGAATTTTTACTCCTCTGGCCACTTACGAGTAAAATTCGTAGAAGTATATTTGACATTCGAGGCCTTAAAACTTGGCTGGACAAGTTTTTCAACACTAAACCTGAAAATTTTTTTATCAAACCGGAGTACATATTGCTTCAGAAACGAGAGAAGGTTAACAAATATATAGCAAATTAATTTTCTGCCGAAGTTCGATCGAAACATAGCGTTTTTCGTTGAAGGAAAACCGCTATAGTTTACGTTTCAATCTATTAGTTAGTAAAAGTAATTATCCTTCCTATTAAGTTGTACAATATCCTGGTCCGCTAAAGTATAGTTTGCGTAAGGCATATTCATGGTATAGGTTAGGTGTCTTGATCTCGCAAGGCTTCCTTATGATAACAGAAAGAAAACAAACTATATTTTCCTATGTTATTTAAATTGTCGTTTCCATGCACTTATGTTTTCCCTCATGTTTCCTAAAATATCTCCTTTACTTTCACATTGGCGCAATGACACTCTTTGAGTTGATACTGTTATACCGTTTATGAAATGTGCAGAAGCCAACTACTCTCCTGGTATTCGAGGAGTAATGTGTTTAGTTGTTCCTAATTTTGTAGCTTGTGTATTTCAGTTTATATGTACCCTCGCTGCAGTCCCATTGTGGGGTTTTTTGTGGTCCAAAATACTGTCGGTCAGTTAGTATATTCTAAAAAAATTAACGACTAATAGAAAGTTAATGCGTTTGAAAAGTCTGCTCAGTCGTTAGGTAGAATTTAGCAACCGCAAAAAAAACAACAACTGAAATAGTTATTTTTAAGGAAAGGCTGTTACAAGGTTGAATAAATTCATCCACTAAACGCTGATAGGAATAGAGATAACTGATTACCAACGAATCAGTCTGTGAGAACCTATGATGTAGACGCCGGATAGCGACAAGCCAGGCCAAGCAGCAATCGGGGTTGGTGCGTGCACGCTGCCTAGTAACCTAGGAAAATAGCAGAAACTTTTAAAGGTCGCACTAAAGCAAGGTTCTTGAACAAATAATCTCACTTATTGTCGTACTACTTACTAAGTTCCATAAACAGCAGATTTAGGAATTTTTCGAATACCGTTCAATACCACCAACAATAGTAAATAAGTGCGTTAAGGAAATGACGAGGCGTATTTTTTTCCGTGACGCCTAGTTCATTTCATCAATCAATGCATTTTACCAGTTAATAAAAACTAGAGAAAGGTGTGCCGGTCGGACTCTGCTTGATTGCGTGTGTCCAAACATCCGTGGAAGCCGTTGTGCTCAATGTAGAGCAAAGAGCGATGTCCGCGTTTTGTTGTGTTCCCTCTCAGTAATTCTGAAGATAGAGCATGCAGTAACTTGGTTACGAATAAAGGTGCCACGTTTAGTCGCTCCCAGGTACCGCCCATGCAGTAACTTATTTCCTATAGAATGAAGCGATGATGATAATGTAACAAGTCAACGGGGGTTAAGGCCACGCTTGAAAATCAGTGCTTGTTAAATCGTTTCACTGCCTGGCGGACACACCCAAACTGCTGAAATGTTTGCTACAATGTTTGTCAAGGCGACCATGGTTTTATGGAAGCATATTTCCTATTAGATAATTGGACCTTTGATACTTCCTGGCTATAAATCAAACTATGTATGACATTTATACCGTTTTAATCCTGTTATAGACGCAAGCGTCAGCAACGGAAGGCCCTTGGCGAATTACCCAGAAGAATACAGGGTGACTCACCTTACGAGATTCGACTAATAGCAGGGAACATTTTCAACCGGCTTGAGAACTCTTGAGGATAAAACTAAACAAATTCTTGGATTTCTGGCAAAATTTCCTAAATTGTATTAAGGTTATGAATGAGTCAAATTGCACTTCAGTGTACTGCATGCCACTCGTTTGTCGCAGCGGCTTAATCAATTATAAGTAAAAAATACGTAAGGAAAGATACTGGGTAATGTATTTAAACAAGTATATATATACTGTGGCTTCTTAAAGCGCTGTAGAGAAATCGGCTGTTGGGGCCCAAAACCTGGATCTTTGAAATTTTTATGAAAAATCGGCTCAGTCTGTTAGATAATCATGTGTTTTGAAATATTAAACTCTATGTTTCGAGTTTTACGTCCGCTCTTGCCATTCGCACTTTGTTGGGTGACTAACCCTGGGCAGAGGACAGAGTGTGTCTATGCCCCGGTTCGGACTTAGACCCCTAAAATTAACAAGCGAATACTTGCCCACGAAGCTGAAGTGAAATACTTAAAGGAGCACAACGTGGCATATGGCTACGATGAGTGACCATTTCATTTAAGTTATCCAACATTCTAACTACATTGAACTAGTAAGCTCGTTTATTTTTACATGTATGATACAAATTGTCAACCATCGTATTAGTGTAAAGCGAATTCAATCTGCTCTTGTGTGGTGTAAAAGAGTATTATACAGACTAACTGTAGTAGAAATGTCAAAATTGAGCATTTACGTCCGATTCACATTTTCGTTTATAATACTTTCTAACTATCCTACATGTCTGCTGTCGAATGATGACATATAAAGAAAAAAAACAAAATTCGTCATATCATAACTGAAGTTATGTGTTGATCCAATCACTTTGCGGCATCGATTTTACAGATAGATTGGACTCTCAGTCGAAAGCGATCATTTCAGCAGCCTCATGATACTTCATCATCTTTTTTTACATTTTAATTTGGAACGATACTTTAAATACCACATTATGCAGAACTAACGTGTTCCGCACCAAACAAATAGACGACGAAATACATCAGGACAAATTTTCAAAACCGGGCAGGCCTGCAGTTCCGGCGAATAGGTAAGAAGTTGTCAAGTGGTTCTAACCAACACGTATTACGTGTACACGTGAGCGTTTTGCGTTTAACACGTCGATCGCTTTATTTGCCATTCTGAAGTCAACTAGCCTCCATTGAGTTATGCTGCTCCCTTTCTCGCAGCGAAGATTATGTCTAGCATAAGCTCTGTTGTGAAAACTCCTGTCCACTTGCTTTCAACACCACAATAGCAAAAAATGTCATTTACGCCAAACAAAGATTACTCCTTCTCAATGCGTCATATTTTTGAACCTTCGATGAGCTTCCATTGGCCGATCCGGCACAGTTCTTGTAATCCTTACATATAGGATCAAGTGTCGTGGAAAACAGCTAACGCACTACAAACTCACACTTAGCCGACGGTTTTATAGATCTGCTTGCCAAACGTCTACGTCTGATTCGTGCAGACTAATGTATCGCCTATCCAAGTTTAATTCGTAACGTGTGTAGTCCAGGTTCCAGAGTTTAAGGTCTTTTAGAATGATACAATGGTTAGACGGGCGGAAACCCGAATTCAAGGGAAAATTTTCCATGCTGGAATCAACTTTATACGAGCAATTTTACGTCTCAACGTTCAAGCTCTTTCAATGATCGTCTTAATCTGTGCGTCTTAAATATTGACTAATAAAGTTAAAAAGTTTTCGGCAAGATGCTGCATGACTAAGGCGTACTTATCGCATGATTTATTTGTTTTTATACACAATGTTTAAGTTAACTGCTTATTTATTTTACAAAAGTAATTTGTGTCATAATAAAATGCAGCTAGATATTATGAGCTGTTACTTTCTCATATAAAAAAGGAGCTATAGTAAGTGGAAACTTGAGCATCTTTTACTTGACTCCACGATTGTGTACGCTGTGCGTTATCGAAACGAGTTTTTTCTGCCATATGCTTTGTATCGGGTAGTTACTTCGTAATTTGAAAATGTATAGTTGATCGTAACAAAACAAACAACATTATCTGGTACTATAATGGGAAAACATGTTACAAACGTTAATAATTACGGCTCATATTAAAAAAACGCTCAACAATCATCTTCTCCCAAGGTAACGACGCCATCTAATAATACACAACAAAATTGCTATGTACTTTTATCGGGCCGTCCGGAATAAATAAGGCGGTATATAATCGATTTATCCAAGTAAGATCTCACAGTTAAGCCTGTTTCAGATGAGTCTTTCGATAGGAGGCGGTTTAAGTACTTGACAAAGTTCCATACGTCGTCCTCCAGACTGCTCCTCCCTGAAAGGCACGAGAACAACAGGAAAATTCAGATTTTTGTTAAATAGAACCATAAGGATTTTGTTTTAACTGTCATTTTGGAGTGACATTGTTGATTTGTCTATGTGCCTATACAATTCGTTTTACGGATTTACGGACGCAATCTACAGACGGGAGAACTGTAGTTGTACTGCAATGACTTCACCTCCGGACTTTCTGAGCTAATGAGTCTTTTAGCCCACAAATCCAGTAATTTCGTTGCTTCTATTTCTGATTAAAATATTTCTCTTTTTTTTTTATTAATAAAATAAAAATCTGAATTAGATAACTAGTTGTAAACTGGTATAGCTGAAAGTCAATTGTCGCAAAGAACGTCCACGTTTTATTAAATGTAGCTCGAATGGTAGAGCCATGAGGGTTAAGTATCTAAAACAAATCGCTGAAAGAATTGGAATGCCCATACTTTGTGACTACCAGTTGGGTTTGTTTTCAGTAGTTGCAAACATTGTCCCGTTCGAAAGACGCATTCGTTTAGGTGTGATCTGTGCAGATAAAACATCTTTTCACATAGATTTAGTGTTACCAGCCATTTTTTAAGCGGCAAACTGAATCTATTTAGCCCCTTGTTATCTAGTTCCGTATTATTCAATAGTTGTTTTCTTCTAATAGTTTTATATATATATATATATATATATATATATATATATATATATATTAGTATGCGTTTAGCAGCTTCCAGCAAATTTACAAAGAGCATTGCTACAGAAAAGCTATCTCATTCCTATGGTACGTGGTAAAGTGTAGGACGCTTTACTACATGATACATTCATTGATCATAACACGATTTGTTGCAACGAACTAAAAAACGTCCGCACGTGTCGTCCGCTTACGATCAAAGTATCCGAACCGTTGAATTTTACGCTCTGTATTCTAAATACTTAAAGACTACGATAACAAATATTTGATACTGATAACGTTTGTGACAAGAAGCAAAACTCCCTAAAGAGTGTAAGAGAATACGTTTTCTCCTCTAACGACAGAGCTCAATATATCTGTAGGTAAATTTGGCGCTCTAATGAAAGGTTCGATGCTACACGTGGAGTAGCTAGTGAACAGAAGGTTCCTAAAAACATTTTCGGATGTACGACGGTTAACGATTTTGTGACTGTGGAATACGTCAGTTTCAACTACAAACTTTGCTAGTCCAAATCAATTTGAAGTGATAATTAAGCTACGAAAAAGCTATTACGACGGCTATGGGACCAAAGCGTCTATTTCTTACCTGGAGGGACTGTAGGTTCCATGATGTCGCCGTTTATTTTTGGTTCTATGTACAATAAGAACACCACATCCCAGTAGGATACAGAAGACAAGGATTACGGCACAAGACACGCTGGCAATAAAGATCGCATTCGAAGCCTCTTCTACAGGATGAACGCTCTGCACTCAAATAGGATATGAAGTTGAAATGCATTAGTTTCATATCATCGGTCGCTTCGTTTTGAAAACTGAAAGTACACAGCACTTTAATACTTCGCACCCGAATGTCAAGGTCGATTCGAGCTACCTTCAAATCCTGCATTACCCCTTGCCCTCGGTCTGTGTTATGTCTAACATCTAGGTACGAGAAACACGCGGCTCACATTGTCGATGTTCGGGTCCGTAGAACCGGAACGGCAGGTAGAGTTCTCGACGGAATTCGCAGTGGTGCTAGTTTCACAGGTCCGGTTCGGAAAGCAGGAGCTCGATCCGCAGCGTAAGTCGCTCGCTGTGGGAACCATTGTTGGCCCCAGTACAACGAGGTCGTGCGCATCGGAGATCGCCGGCGGAACCCTGCCCAACTAAAACGATATCGAAGAAAAAACGACTGTACATCATTCAGAAGCGGCGCGCACTCTAGCTATTGCTATCGACCTCGATGCATTGCATTTAGACCCAAACATTTTTCTATTTACGGCTCATATTAAATAATAAGCTTTCGTTAGGTGTCCTATGCCAGAGGTGATAGCATACAGATAAGCTCAAGACGCGAGAAGAGGTGGACATGAGTTCCGATATAGTTTGTGGCAAATTCGAATGCCTTATATTATGTATTTCGATCTGAATTTCTTTTTACTTAATTTTTCACCTAATTTTTGCAAACGCTCCGTTAATTATCCCGTAATGCTTACCTGTCTATGGTAGGTTGCTAAATAAAAAAAGAAGTCATACTAATATGTAACAGTAATAGATAATAAAGATCAGTAAACGTTCTAAATAAGTTGAGGTAATGTTTAACCTAATCTACTAGAAAATAACATGTAAAGATTATAAATACACAAACATAGCGTTTACGCACAGATGAGTAGAATTGAGTTAGGGAACGCCTTTTTAGTAAGCTTTATTCTTGTTATTACTAATCATCATTGGTGTACAACAATATTACCTGCTGCTAATATAGAACAAAAACATCTTGCTCGCTTTTATAAGATTTCGATTATTATTACGCACCGCCATAATTACGACCAAAGCAACTAACCATTCCCATTGAAGGGAGTAAACCTAACCCATCAGCGCCTATGTGTACACCTTTAACCTCATTACTGCCGTTCCAACTTAAGTTCATGATAATCGCGTAGTGCTTGTGTCTCTTCTACACGTGCATGCAAAGAGGTGAGAACTACTATTGCTTAGAACGCCAGCATGATGCCCCACTGCAATAGAACTACAGCATAATGATACCAAAGCAACGACGCGATTTCCAGGGTGTGTAGTCGCTTGTACCAACATCAGCGTCTTTCAACATACCGGGATCTTTCTCATTGCGCGAATGAAGGATGTGTGCGTGCGCACCCTCGGTACCCTTCCTTCAATATTGTCTCCCTATTGAATAAGCTAGACCCGTCTCTCTCACTATAGTTCGTATAGTGGTTCGTATAGTAGTAACATCGTGGTATCTATCAAAGCAACTTCGGAGACCGAACGTTGGGCTGCACAATTGAGCTAAAGCTTCACTTATAGGAACGCAATACCCAACATAGAATCATTGCAGTAATAGCGAAGATAGTGACAAATGATGGCGGTAACGGCATGGCGGCACTAGCTGATACAGTAGAAGTAGTAGTGACGTCGTTGTTTCAGCCAAAATTTTTCTGTCGTCACTGATCACAGCGGACGCTTTTTCAAATATAGTTTTGTTTTCGCCGTACCTGAATGAATGGCCTTCACGCGTCATGAAGGATGGTGATGGGAAGTAAATATTGGTGGCTTACAGGGACCCGGGAACGGACAGTTTAAACAAATGCGACGGCCTCAACAACAGAAAAACCATCGGAGGGCACGCACACATACATATGGCCAGTCTGTATTCTGTTTTGAGCCGCGCGACTACTACCGTCCGACAACTAAACATTTTCCGCCTGAATAACTCACCGATTTATATATACGTATATATATGGTAATTAGTATATATATGCATGCAATTTGTCTGCGACGCTAATTTTATTATCACTGTGATCCTACTAGTCTTCGTATATTATGTAGAAGATACAGTTCGTTTTTCTGATGGGTCTTTTTCCAAGCTTGATCTTCTTGGTGGACTAAAAATGACCAGAAAAACGCTGACACGCGGAGAAAGCCACAAAATGCGATCTATTGTTAAGGATCGCGAAGAGGCCGCTAAAGTAGTAGAATTCTTACATCCAAGTGCGTCACACCCTTTGGCCCTGAAGACCATTTAGATAATACTACGATCAGGTTAATATTAGACCCTGGAAACAAGTTATGCTGAAGCTTAGGACGAAATTGCTTAGAAAAAAAAACATTTTTAAAAAAAAATAATAATAAAATAATAAAAAATAATTAATGATTTTGTTAGGTTTTATCTTGTAAAAACAAGCTGTTCATACAATAAGAATCCTTTTATATTGGAAATGTTGTGGGAAAACGAAAAAAGTGTTTTGTTACGTTTTGTTTATAAATCCTTGCAGCATCCTTGGTCATTGCAAAATGATGTGAATCTCAATAAACTAAGAACTATGTAGATCGGTTTAAGAACAATGACCGTTCACCAAATAAAAAAGGTGCAGGGCAGCGCTTGTCCTAACTTCGCTCTGAGGCCATAGAAAACAGTTTTTAGTTGGCCAGAAAAGTCGTTCTTGCAGGTTATATTAAAGAAGTCAGAAAATGGGTCCCCATCTTTTTGTACTCGCCTATGCGACGGTGTAGTGGTAAGGTATTTACCTACTAAAGTTGGAGGCACGCAGTGATGAAACGGCCTAACTTCGAAATTGATCGTAGGCACACTACCATCCTTGCTTAAGGCCAGCCGTCTGAAACAATGTTTAACGCCAGTATGAAACTTAAACTGCGGAACTTTTTTACTATTTGGACTATTTGAAACCGAGACGCTCTACCGAAGTGAATCTGCGAGACGAATTATAAATGCCAATTTTTTCAATGATGATGAACGAAGTTTAGACACTATTTTGAAAAGTTTCGAGTAGAGTCTGTTTAAACAATTATTATTTATATGCTTAACGTAACTTATTTATGCAGTACTTTTACTTACATTATTTCGTAAAGTTTACCTGGAGACAAAATAATTAGAAATGAAATAAGCTGCATCTGGCTTAAAAGAAGATATAAATTTTACTTTTCTCAATACAGTTAATTTAAATCTAATTAATTATAGAAGACGCGCGTGTAAAAGAGAAATAACGTCAATGACTGAAAGCTTACGATATACATAATAACAAAGTGAAGCTACTGATGATAACATAAGCCCAAGGTCTCTCGTTAGTCGTAGGGTCTTGCCTTTAAGGTAGTCTCGATTAAATGTACAAAGAGCGAGTAAAGAAATATTTCAAATGATAAAACTAAATGAATTTAATTTTCATTTTAATAATAACTTATCTAGCACGCTTATTGATACAAAAGAATTTTCATTATATTAACCCGTTAGGTGGCTGGGAAGCTAACTTATCGTACCTGTATAGCCTTCGAATAAAATTTGTATTGGAAGCCCACATGTGGGCACAATCCAGAACATACAGTGCGTTATAATATTGGCGCTATATGCAGCCAATAGACACTTTGTATATGGTCAATTAATATATAGCCAAGCCTTTTAATGGCCACCGACAGAATGGGCCATATAGTTAACATATAGTTCTTATATAGGAGAACATATGTAGAATGAAAGATAATAATTATTCTTCCCTTTCCTATTCACGTTACGTAAGACATTCGTGGACGTGTGTTTAATGATACGGCAAAAGTATCGTATTTTGAAAAGATCCTATACAGCACCCCATCGATGCTGGCATTCAAAGGTGTGTTACAATATGAAACGGTCGTAAACGACCGATGTAATGATTCAAGTGTTGAGTGTGACCGATCTACCTTTTCATGTAAATGAGAGAGCTTCATTTAAAATGGTCCCAGTTGATCCTGGTTCATACGTAAAGTACTGTTCCGTCTACTATATATACTGAAATATAATACCACATAATTGGTGACGATACGAATAAATAAATTTCGAGCAACAAAGTTTTAAAAATACAAGAAAGCTGTTCGGGCCCTTGAGCCAGCCCAAAAACAAGAAGCGCAACAGAATCGAAGCCTGTATAATCCCTCTTCGCATATCATTCTGTGCGAGAGTTGGCATTTGCGTCACCCGGCTGTTTTACCGAAAAAAAAAAAGATTAAACGCTAGCTGAGTAAAATAATTCGTGTTATCATTTACTAGCAATTAAACCCCGAATATGACGACACGCGTTGTTAAGTCACTTTAAGATATCTATATAAAAAAAAAAAGCCAATACGAAGCTTACAACGTATCAGCTTCATATTAAATGGCGATTTGTTGAATTATGGTTTATCGCTATGTTTGGTTAAGGAAGTGTGACGTCGTCGGCCTGGGAGCAGACAATTCTTGCGAAGACAAGAGACACCATCAAAGCTGATTTCTTACTGACGGATATCATCTATACTCTTTTGGATCTCTTTTTCTCCCAGTAAGGCAGCTAGTTTGAATCATATAAAGAACGAGCACCTACAGAATGCTTCTCCTAAACACGCCAATCTCGTAGCCTGCGACCGGAAAGAAAAGTATGTGCTAGAAAATGCTAGCCATACTCGTGGATTTCAAAGCAGCCCTCAGTTCGGCGTTAAGAAACATCCTCTTGAGGTTTCTGGTAACGTAAGAGGAATATCCTCAGGAAAATCAGATGAGCATCGGCGATGACAACACGTTTCCCTTTCCATAGATCACAGACTTCGCGTAGGGGATACATCAACCTTTTACAGTTCTAGGCGCTTCTAAAGGGTCTACCAACAGGGATTCGAGGGTCCAAAACGTTATAAAGATGATCTTGTACGCCGACGACTTAGTTATATATGCGAGCTTTCCATATTCACAAGCGTTAGATAAACGGCATGAAATCTCGGTAGATCCCGATTTAACCGTAAATCTGACGAAAATTGCGGCGATTAAGTACGGGAAAGGACTGTTTACTAAAGCGCGCTCTTTATCTCGTCAGGTCGCTTTCTGCCTACGCAAATAATTTTAGTAAGCTCGGACTACTCTCTTCGTTCAACGGCAGAAACTTTTTGTTGCATGCAGCGAAGAAGCGCAGGAGGACAACAGTGGCTGCACATGCGATGGAACCCCATCTGCTTTAGCTACTAGCACTTTTTGGCTATTGGACTTCAAAATTATCCCAGGTATATGAGTCCTACAGCATAGAGGCAATACAGAAAAGCCTCTTTCTTGCAAATTTATAGTAATAGATTCGACCCAAAGCTATTTATCTCAAGATTGTTCTCAGACTCCAGCGGAGAGCACGAATCAGTCGGCCGATCGATCCCCGTGCGGGAACACCCCAGTTCATCAAGGGATTAAAACCAAGTTTTGACCTACCATCTGTTTTGTATTCCTAATATACTAAAGGTTTTACGAAGCTAAAGCTATGTTCAAACATGCATAAATGGCAATGAACGGCTCAAATCATCGTGCTCTAATAGATCCGCTGTCTATGACCTTCATCAGATATTGCTCCAAATTTTTATGGACCAAGTGCAAGAAGCTATATGTCTTTGTACAAGAGAAAGGTCATAGCTAATAAACTGTTATTTTCGTGATCTACCTGATAAAAGTATCTCGAGATATATATATATATATATATATATATATATATATATATATATATATATATATATATATATGACCTAAGAAATTAGGTAAATTAGTTTTACTTAACCGAACTGACTACGTTCAACCTGATATTGCAAGAATCACGGCGGAAAACGTTAGGCAGGAGCCACAGTTAAAGGTGTATTATCCACCATACTCGGCATACACTTCTCCCACAGATTACCATATAATTTCAAAAGATCAATCATTTCTTTAATGGGAAAATTGTTGAAATCTCGACGTAGTCTTAAAATTGCATGATAGGCAACATACGAGACTCTACGAGACTTCCGCACCCCACAGTTCCACGGTAATGACAGAATAATTCGCTATTCGAATAGAGAACGCTATAGATAATATACCTCATAGCCTTATGAATGTCTCACCTCAATGATTTTATGTTTATATTCTTGTTCTGTAAAATGTCCTTTTGTTTATTCTTTTTCCTTTCAGAAGGGACAAGGAAACACTCCCGTTCTCATTTTTGCCCCTTCTTCTGTCTTTGTGGTTTCATTGCGTCCCGAATACTACCAGCCACAAGTTGTGCAAAGTTAAATAGCGTTAAGTGCTTTTGCTTCCCCTTATAATGGAGCGTTTGCATAGACCTTTGCTAGATTTTGGAATATTAAGAACAGGTTATGTAGGCATTTGAATGCCTCATACACAATTAGGCCAAACACCAGCAGAGTTTATCACATCAGCATTCTTATGTGTATGAGGCTCTAAGAATAAAATTGTGTTTACAGATATCGTTAGCCAGCATAACGTCCACTAGAGAATTCCATTTAGAGAAAATCCTCTCGATAAGCATGGGCACTTCACATGTCCCTAGTGTGCAAATGCTGTTTTTTTCACGATTGCACGCATGTGCAGGTATTACGCCATGGGCCTATGTAAAATTTGACTTACAGATACAAGGCAAAGGCCAATATTTCGACGCATCTAAATGCGGAAGCACCCAGCTGGTAACTGTAATAATGGCTGTGCAGGAGAATTGTTGCGTGTCGAGAATAAACTCAAACGTTTTAAAATAAATAAATAATAAAAACAATAGTAATTACTACTTCTTGGCATATATGCAAGCATCAGACGCAGAACGGGCGTGTGCCTTATCGGACTACTATAATACAATATCAATGCTGAATCGTAAAAAAACTAAATCGTCAAAGATTAGAAAGTCTACTCAGGTCTGGTCGTTAGCCAGTGCTAAGCTTGAAAAAAAAGCTTCAACGTTAGCAGATCTTCAGTATATATACAGCTATATCTATTTCGCTAATTCCTTATAGCAGTTCTTTATGCTGGAAGCGGATCTAGCGTAACAAGTGTTGGAGATCTTTACGTATTGAGGTTTGCTGTTTATTCTTTCTGCTGGAGCTGTTCAGACCAGTGTTGACTTAGCTGGATTCTTTCTACTATATTTAGGCAGGCCGCTTGACTAACAAATACGTTCAAGAGTTCATGGTTCTTTCTTTATCTTCAGCCTTTGATATGGTTTGGTGACGTTCTAAAGGAGGCGATTCTCAAGATGACTTCAAGATTTTGATTGTACCAGCAGCACCGTCAACATGGCCCCCTCAATAGCGATAGCAATATCGTATGCTTGCTTCAGTGAGGATTAATAGAAGATTAGAACGATCAGCGGTAAGCGACCATCAATTACTTGACTGCTTACTCACGGTCTGGTGCAAGGACGGAAAACTTTTCTACTGTTTTGCTTATTCATTTACCGCCCGTTCACTACCACTATACACGTACATGTGTACATCGGTAACTTGGCAGACACACTAGTACAAAGGAGCAGTTGGCGCTAAAAATTGTTACAGTTATTTGCTATTTGTCCTAATATATCTTCCTTAGGCCAAAATGGCAGACCTCGAAGCGCCAAGAAACTTGGATAGCTGCCCCTTTATTCTGTGCCGCTAGTACAGCGTTGTTTTTGGAGACATCGCTGTGAATTGATGTGACATTACGCAGGTAACAAGTGCCACCAAGATGGAACAAATTCAATAATTAATCGTAGGCCATGTTCAGGTAAGCCGAGCGTTTATTGATGTAATGGTAATTCGAATGAACGATATCGAAGATGATCGTTTATAATGAAATCCTTTAAAGGCTAATTCCATTAACGTCTTCTGACACGTTCTTCTTAGCGATCGATATCTTCTTAGTACATGAAGAGCACGCTAGTGCTTTTGGTCTATGTATAGTCTGCTAACAGAGTTTTTAGATAGGTGACTATTATGACGCCAAGTCAGTGTTCAGCTATACACTCACTCCGCGCTTCAGCGAGGACGGAAGCGCCAATAACGCTGCAACTTAACGATGGTAAACGGGCCGCTCTATTATTTATTGTATCAGCTCAAGTCAGTTATTTATACTGTGGCTTTGCTTCGGCTATGGGCAAATAGGTATATAGAATACGATAGCCTAGTGGGTAGCGTACTTGCACTGCTAATCTTAGGGGAACGTTGTGGTCCATGATCGAACTCGAGCGTAGATAGATAAAATACTTAACGGTGATATGACGAGAAACGTAAAAGCCAGGACGTAGGGGCATGTAAAATAAAAAGCTATTACAGGTGACTGAATGGATCTGCGCTCGACTCCTCTCGAAAACCCATCCAGACTGCGAATCCGCCTGTATTGAGGTGCGACAAAAGATGCGGTGAAGCTGTGTCTTCGTTAAACTGGTGGCACATTCGAGTGCCTGAAGACAGGCAATAGAAACACATGTTTGAACGCCTGCCGTCCATGTGCTGGTCATATTGCACTGAATATGTCATGGCATTTTAGTTCATTGTTCGTTTGGATGAATGCTTATTCGACTTAGCTCTATTGTATAACGCCCTGAACCAAAATGTGCGTGTTCTGCACATGTGCTTGCTGTTGCTGCTGCTGCTGCTGCTGCTGCTGCACTCCTTGTGACGTTTCTTGCGTAACTTTCTGATATCCTAGGATATTTGAGAATTAACATTAAACGGAATCTCTTTGCGGCCATCGGTGGCTGACCGCTATGTGAGCTTACGCTTATATACGTATTCTATGTCAGCCTATATGTGTACCAGCTTCAGATATCAAAACTCAAAACAACACCACACACACATATTACAGAAATAATTATATGCGACTCATTACGTCGTATGAGAAGCACACTCAACTGTTCGACGGACAGAGGCTCCGATTACGCACGAACCACAGCGGAAAGCACTGGTCGCATCTACTTCGTGTCGTCGCTTATACTCAGAGCGCCCGTGGAACCTGGCAGTCACCTCCAATGATCCCTCCCAGTTCACGTGTACAATAAGTAGAAAAACAACAGGACAACGTAGCGGCCAGTAGGCACTTGCCGTCTGTCTTCTAAGCTAACGAATGAATTTTCAGCTTCGCTTTATGCTGACGGCTAGATTTTTCGCCAGCTGACGCAGCCGTCGATTCACCTAAAACAACTTGTCAGCAAACTGCTGTCCTGTTTCTAAAATTATACATCCAGCCCGGTGAGTTGGCTGCCGCTGTTTGCCTCGCCCGCCGTCTCCTATTGACGACGACTAGAAGCGGCGGCAACGTCATGGCATCATCATGTGACCATCACCACCTAACAGCACAAGCTATAATACGTACTCCCGTGCCAGCCACTGCCTCTTGCGGGCCGTGTGCGCATCCACCATTCACCAATCCAGCTACGGTCAAACTATGGCTTAGCGGGATTCGCTTAGTTAGAAGATGTAGCCGCTTTGTGAGAGGGAGCTGCTGTAGCTATTATTATGCCGACTGCCCAATATCACTTGCGACAAAATTGTTGTTGCCATTGAGACTAGAGCTGAGCTTTTCTATAGTCAACACTCGCGCACCTTCCAAACGCCCTTCTTATACATCGAAACAATGTTTTGTCCTATCCAGTTACAGCCACCAGCAAATGTGTGAGGTAACACATATTCCCGGCCATTGATTCTTATAGAATGTGCTGCTCGTTTGTGGAACGAGCTGGTTCGCCAAGCTAAAAATGAAGGATGTATCAGTATACATAATGAATAACGCGAGCTCAACTTACCGTAATACTGTTGTATCCTTTAGGACCGTTCAATTATTCCGTGACATTCTAGTGTACTTCACAATCACACGAACAACTTTACATACGAGGTAGTTAACGCCGAGCTGTGAGAGGTGCAACGTTTAAATTCACTATCTCGTAGCACGGATAATTCTCGTGATACTCGAGGGGTTAGCAAGAGAACTTCGTACTTTGTTTACCAGCAATAGAAGTCAGTGCTAAATTACTGTTATGTTCGAAACCTTCAACATATATATATTATGTGCGCGAATTTAAACCAACTCGGGATCAATGAGCAAACGATGGCTTCCTATAGCCACCGTCGTATAATGGAGGATTACTCGTGACTTCATGCGGAGTCGAGTAACTGTAACTTGCAAAACATCTACGCTTATTATGATGTGTCATCGCACGTTCAGAGATTTAGCGTGGTAACAACAACGGTACACAACTTATCTAATCGTTTTATAAAGAAAATACAATATACATGGGCTGCCTACAGGATAAATGAGCAGTAAAATGAGTTTTTACTCGATAGATTAACACCGTCATTTTAGCTTGAAAATTACGATAGAATAACAGAATTGTATGATTCTACGCTGACAGAAACATGTATCATTAAGAGACATAACCGGAATAAGACAGATAAATTCTTCTTAGTGAAATGTTCTATGAGCATTTAAAACGGGTGTATTTTTATATGTGTCTCTGTCCCGAGTATACTATCGAAGAGAGCCATCCTTTAAGGAACTGGACAAAGGTAGCTCTTTGTTTTTCTGTGCTGCACTTCGGCTGCACAGAATCTGTCAAAAATTTTGGATACGTGCGTTAAAATAGGGTTCACTTCGTAATTATTAATTTTTATTTGAAAAAGTAGAATACGCCGGTGAGGTAAAGGCTCAAAGCTTAGTGAATTAGAGCAATCCTCCGCTTGTCGTTGACAATTATCTAATAGAAAACATACATAAGTGATTTAATGAATATAAATAGGATTCATCTTAACCCTAAAAATAGACTAGGTTTAGGGTGACTAAAAACAGTTATCATTAGAGAGAGATCCACAACAGATTGACGCAGGGAAATAACCGAGAGGCAATAGAATTTGCAAACATCACCAAAAGAAATAATAATAATACCTAATAGTCCCCATTTTAAAAAAACATGTATCTGAAAACAAGAGGCAAGTGAGGTTCCGATAGAGACTTCAATCGTGTCTTAAGTTCGACTTGTTGATAAATGTTTCTTTCTAAGGCGCGTGGTGTTGTCACGTCACATATAGAGGCATGACTAAAATAAACAGCCATCACAGCGCAGCATGACGACTAGCCTGTCTGCACTCCTACTTTATCGAAGTTAAAATTGCACCAAAAAGGTAAGTTCGCTGTGGTCTAAGACTAACGACTTATTCGTACGAACTGACTCTCGGTAGCTGCAGCGGGTAGCCAGCAGCTTAAAGTGGCTCAACTTCAACAGCCTCGGAAAGTCATGGCCTCTCTTAATGATACGTCCGGCATATTGTTTATTTAGTCCCCTTTGCTATTGTGCTTAAAGGATTACTAATATAATCTTAAGAATGAAGAGGCCAGGCGTTATACATAGCGGCCTATCAATGTTATGTATCCAAGCCCTCCACACACTTCAGTTCCTATCATTCCTCAGCCTGTCGATCTGACTGTACAACAAATAGAACCGTGTGCTAGTAGCCCGCTTAGGTAGTAAGGTGTATATAGCACGGTTCATCGCAATTTTGTTTGTATTAGTTGAGGGCGTTTTGCCATTTGTACCCGTATTGTTAAGGTTATGCGCACTGTTCTCGTAGATAAATACTTTCGCTCTTGCTAACGTTAAGTAAACAGAAGACCTTTTTAATTTAACATGGAGTCAATCTGATTAATTTCGAGATCAGTGGCAACCAGATTGGTTTAAGAACCCCAAATTAGCAGCAATAACCGAAAGGAGAACTCCTGTGGGACATTTTAATGCTGAATTGCCTTTTCGAACAACTACATAGGAAAAATATCAAGGTGTCGCATGTATGAAGGCACAATATTGATATCTCAATGCGTCCAGAACAATCATCGTTTATACTCGAAATGCGAACAGAGTGAAAACAGGCTTTCCAGAGACTACTAATATTAATTTTCCATGCTATGAGCCTTTAAAATCAGCATCTGGGTGAAATGCTCGAAGTAATTCCTTCTGATATTGAAACACTAAGCGGGTAACCAGGAGGATCAGGAAAACAAATTAGTTACTCTCTACGCACGACCTATTTCGATCGAACAATCCGACTGTCTTCCTTAAATAACCATCTCCGAATGAAAAACACAATAGTAGCCATTTTACTAACATAATGTAGTTCCGCATCACTTGTTTTCCCTAACCTGGATATTTTTGGAAAAGCTGTATGCTGTGCCTCGATAGGGTACGGCGGAGTTCGATGATATGTTTCAAGAATTTCATCCCAATCTAATTCAGCCAAAATATGCTCTTTTAGTCAGTGAAACCAAACCTAAAAATAATCATGCATATAAGGTAAGAAATTAGGATAGACTTTTTTGACATGAAGCTGTCACCTTTAATTATGAAGAAATGAAATATGGTCTTGCACATTGATTTGTTAGGTGAAGCAATGCAGTGATGTGTCCTGCGAAAAAGCCTGGTTTCGTGTGGAAAAGACAGCCGGGTTCCAAAAACCGAGGGCAGACGGAATTATTATGTCATTCAGACTTTATCTCCAGTCTTCTGGTAGACACGATAGCAAAATTCGTACTGCCGTTAATATACTTTTCTATTACGTTACTCAGCCACGTGGTATCAATAGTTTTTTGTATGCACCTGTCCGTGGAGCTTCATTTGAAGTTGAAACTACTTTTTGGCTTGATTAAATTTGTATGCGTTTTAAGACTAAAAGAAACAATTTGAAAGATGTTTTTTCGACTTCGAGGGCATTTCGAGCGAGCAGAGAATCGGTTACGTATTTTCACCCTTGAACCGTCGGAAAAATGAAATAGACGAACTTCTTTTGGGTATTCAATCCAACGAACAGATATCTCGTTGATTGATGAGCTCTTTATGGCTTTATAAAAGGTCTCCGAAAAGTTATTATGCACGACGATTTTTTTTTATTATTAATAAGGGTATTCGAAACGTGAAACATATGGATACGACGTGCATTACGCATGTGAATAGACGCGCTGCACATTACATATAATTAGATGAAGTAATAGTTTTCATAGAAATTCGTTTTTATCATTTTGAATAATATAGGCGCCTCGTAAAGTGTAAATCCACGAGATAAAAGTTCTCAGTGGGTCAAGAGTGGAATTAATACAACGATATTTAAACTTTCCTAGACCTTCATAAGCACTAGGTATGTGCTGACGATACTATTTTATGTAGTTCTTCACCAGCTACGGACCTCATGGTTCTGCAGTGGTCAACCATTACCTTTATTAAGCTTAGAAAGACGTGCTTTTCCAAATTGGGCGCTGATGTACGATTTCGTGCTGGGAGCAGGCCGTCCGAAGCAATGTTTAGCGGTAGCACTGGACGTATCACTTAAAATATTTACTAAATACATACAAAAGCTATAAATTTGATACACTTCAATGTACTCCTTGTGAGTAAAACGTTTACCGGCTGAGTAGTGTTTAGGCCTGTTTTTTCAGCCTACTTTTGGGCTAATCATATTGTCTTCCTGTTTTGCAATTAAAATATCACCCATACATAATATTAGTATTACGTGGAAAATTTCAAATTGCGGTGCAGTAGGACCATTGAAGTTGTTATAGGGCAAATGCAGTGCTTTTTACCATGAACATATTGTCACCGAAATAAGCAAAGTTGTTTAAATAGGTTCAATGGCGTCCATTTTAAGTTTACCGCTTTTGCCACAAACTTGTTAGGCCTGATAAAAGTTGTGCAGGTACAAAAGGTGGTTCCATTTGGATTGGGAACTGGGTTTCAGTAAGGCTGTTTAAAGATCAATAAATGCTGTCTCCAGTCGTTGAAGTCATAGCCATAAAACCACAAATACTATATCTTTTGGCCGCCCGCTAGACATGATTGAATTAGTAAAACTGAATTGAGTATCAGCTCCTCTATCACCACAAGATGCCCTTCAAACTACTGCGCAAGATCAGGAAAGATTTTGTCCGTCGGAGGTAACAGTGTCAGTGCTCACGCAAAATCATTCCACTGGCGTTGAAATGTCCACGTTTTCGTTGAACGACTGGATATGGACGCTCATTGCAGACGCTGCTCCCTCTTAACCCGACGGCTATCAAGTATTTGCAGCATTCT